ACAGCTCCTTTAATACGTTGAAAGATAAATACTATTTCTCTTTTGATCCTCATTCTTCTTCTCCGGTTATTTTGGACAAATAAATATGACATGACTACATAAATAGAGAGAACTGTTGTTTATGAGGTTATTAGTATGTCATAGCACATAGCACAAGTGTTTCTGACAACCCAAGCACAATCATGTCTAAGTATTTGTGTGGCTGTAGTCCAAAACTATTCCCAGAAACCAGATTACAGTGTTTTCCTATCCTAAACACTGCTCACATGGAAATACACCATCACTCCCTTATTATTGCACCAAATATATGACTGAATCCAAAATATGAGCTGAGGCCGTAGAGGTGGTCAGTAAATTGTCTACAATAAAGATATGCAAGATTAGAATACTGTGCATTGTCTATATAAGATGTCTAAAAGCTGCAAAAATAACAATGGAATGTTCCAAGAAAATAATTCTGCTCTTTCTTTTGTGCAATACTTGAACCATACCTATCCCTGCAATCCATTTTATAACCGATTTTTGATCAGCTGCTTTATGAATATGATCTAATTATCGCCCCATAAACAATTATTTATTTTGATCAGTATTCCTTTCCCCAGTATCCCTAATAGCAATGTAATAACATAGTTTAATCGTGTAAGAAACAAAAAAAAGAGTTGAGCACCCAAAATATAAAATATAAAATGTAAAATAATACCAGGTTATTACAAATGCAATGTGAACCAAAATGGCACACGTACAAATAGTGCTTTCAAGAATCATTTCCTGTATTGTCACTGTTAATATTATGATTGGCGATATAAGAGCAAAGCGTAGGAGGTACAGAGCAGAGCATTGGCAGTGGTGAATGTGCTAAAACTGTAGTTAACCTGGAGAATAGAGACTGTAATGTTGACTTGGTCGGGCTGCGTGCTTCTGGACAGATTGCACAGTATTTTGACATTTTTTCCCCAAAAATCAGACGCACAAGGAAGCCACAAAAGAATGAGAAGAATCCTGTGGTAGGAGAGGTCTTTTTGGGCCATGGATGTGAGGGCGTATTTGACAAATAAAAGAAATGCATGTTACATTAGCTTGTGTTGTAAGACTAGATTGTGGTTCAACAGGAGATATTGTGAACTAGGTGACCATCAATCTTAAACTGTATCAGTACAGTGAAACTAGAAAATAACCATTACATGTATATCAAAACGTAATATAGTTTTGTGAAAAAATACAAAAAGGATGTAATACAATATTCACTAGGCAATGTAAAGTAGAGTAGCAGTTGACTAAAGAAATTCTTGGTCAAAGATTAGCTGATTAAAAAGGGGGCATGGCAAAAGCTCTTAAAACTTTTCAATATATATGATTGATCTGACCCAAACTAGACTCACAACACTACAACTGCACAGGAGTTGGTGCAAAATAAAGTACTCCAATTGAAAAGTACTAGGAAATGTATGTGAAAAAGCAGGCGACTCATGATTTACTCCCAAATTTTGGTCAAGGCACCATTGACCAGTTAATCAAATAAGTGACTAAAGTACCACAGCCTAAAGAAATTCTACAGTAAAATACAAAAAAATACTCAAAATAAACAAAAACCTTGGCTAGTGGCTCTCATTTTCATAATAAATAGTCTTTAATTATACTGTTATACAAGCAACTGATGTCAAGATTTTGGTACCACTAACAGATTTAAATTTCAGATGGTGTTTACTTAATCCCTTACTTTGCTGTCTAATCTTACAGAAACAACACATAGTCTTCGGCGGTGCTGGTCATTTTTCAGTTTCGTGTCAGGTTGTCACATTGAGGAAGTAAGATAGAGAACAGGCTGCTTGTTTAGGATGGAGCTCCTCTAAATGAACAGATGTATAAAAATAATAGTAAGAATAACAAAATAGATTCAATTACAATTCACCCACTGTGTAATGTATGACTTCATGAAAAAGGCATGTCTTAAAATGGGAGATCTAGTGTTGGGGAAACATTCCAGTGTTCTGTTACTGACACACACCACTTAAAATAGAGCAAGGAGATTTTATTTTAGCTAATCCTATTTTGGGTATTGTTTTGAGTCATTTTAAGGTGTAATAGTAGCTCAGTCAAGTAGAGCGTTTGTCCACTGATCCAAAGGTTGGCGGTTTGAATCCCGCTCTCGCCATAAATAGTGGTTAAGCGGTCAGATCCACACCATTCATCTGTGGGTGCTATTCCAACTCCCACAGATGTTGTTGTGTCCTTGGGCAAGACACCTAACCCACCTCAGCCCCAGTGTACACACTGGTGTGTGAATGAGTGACTGGTTTTTTGAGGTAAAGTGCTTTGAGTGCCTTCTTGACTCCATGTAGATTCTGAATTTTAAAATGCCCAAATGCCCATATTAATGTCATTGTAGAATGGACAGAATTGCATTCGCTGCCATTTCAAATAAAGATTTGTTTTTAGCATGCATGTAATGTGGTCACTATACAAAAATTTCAAACCCAATTTCAATACTAAGGAATACACTCTATACTCAATACCGATTCCAATATCACAGTATCACACTCAAATGTGATTTTCAACATAAGATCATAGTATTAGTAAATTATTTTATATTACTTTACATCTGTGTAATTCCTCAGCCAATTAGGTAGCTTCCTCAGTCCATGGGCATGTACTAATCTATGTGGCCTCAGAATTATTCTAGGCACATTCAGAAAACATTTAATTTCTGTCCTGTAAATGTGACTTTTTTCATTTTGATCCCTGCTCAAATGAGTATCTAGTTTTGATGCTAGTGTTAATATCAACTAGTATAGCATACTTAAGGTGAGACAGTGCTATATAAACAAACAACGGACGTAATTAGCTAATTTAACAACATAAAAGGCACATCCAGTCATTTTGCTGATGAAAGCAAATACAGCAGCATATGTCAGAAAAGACCTTCAGAACCCTGACGATAAAAGCCTGTCTGGTTTCTAAGCGACATCCGCATCCAGCTCTTCCGTTTATTCCACCAAACACCTACAGCTGCCTATTTCAGTAAATAAGGAATCCAATGTAATTGTCTACTTCTCCTATCATTGGGATGCAATGATGAACATGAGATTCGAAAGGATACAATGAGGTAAAAAAGCACTGAGAAACTGCTATGTCCTTGAACTGTGTCAGATATTCCCCTGGACAATGACCTCCTCTGTCCCCCTCCACATAGCTGAATGAATTTGCAATAATTATCTAATATTAGGCCTCTGGGTTCAAGCTTTATGTGAGGTTCAACTGAAAACCAGTCAGGGAAGAATAGATTTGTTTTATATAATGAATAAACCTGGGCTGGATACATAATGTAGTTGCATATGGATCAAATTATGAATACATCTTGTTGTATGTTTAGAAAATGTACTCAAACTATCCATGACAAAAAAGTCAGTTTTTAAAACACATGAGAAAAATAAGTTATGACTATGCTTTGATGTTTGACATGTTTCTAAATGCAATTATCCTGTTGTTTTGAAAGACTGTTAATCGTTACCTTATGCTACCTTGCTCCTGGTTCAGTATTTGTCCAATATTTTCACTCAATTACCTCCTATTACCTCATCACATGAAGACATTACTAATATTTATGTCTGTGTCATTACTGGCCTTTTCTGTAGTATTTATGTGTTAATGCTGTTTTTACAACCAGTAGAAATGTTGTATGACAGTGTTTTAGCAGTCATCAGCAGACATGTTGCCTGTGAGTTGGAACAATGAGTTTTGTATGAATGATGTGTGTAAAGTTGTGTATGAACTTATCACAACTGAATAATTAGGAACTGATCACGTAGTTCAGCAAATGCATTTTGTCAACAGTGAATTACGGTTAGTTTTAAAGGTTTAAAGGATAACAATAACTTTTTCTGGTGAAGGTTCTCCATGGAGATAGTTGTTATTACTTTGCAAAGCAGTAAAATCTCCATGGAGACAAGCATGTGGCGGACCTTCCACCAGAAAAGCTACATACTGCACCTTTAAAGTTATGATAAGGTACTTAATAAAATTAGCAGGGGAAAACAGCAAACCTAGCCCAAATTAAAAGCCTGGTTGTTCTGCCCTAACTATTCCTTCTTTGTGTCTCTTGATCTTTCGCTTTTCATCCTGCCACACCACACACTGTAATCTCTTAAAGACAGTCTTCATAACCAAGCACTCATTTGTCAGTATTTCCCCCACTGCACTGTGCACACTCCTGTGGACACTCCCTAAGACATGCGCCTTCATCCGGGATCCCTGCCTGCCTTCCTGTCAGCCCAAACACCCTGACAGCACATGAGTCAGGCTCCACTTCCTGTTAGAGTAAAGTACCGTAGACTCCAACCCAGTCTCACAGCAACCACTCCCAAACCTTTGATTCACATGCACATGGATCACAGCTACATCCACACACACTATGGACCTCATGCTTTGAAAAGAGTTCATCCTCCCAGGTGACTCTTTATAAAAAGTGTTGTGATTCTGGGCTAAGTTTCAGATACCAACAACATAAATCTTCAACCCGTTGTATCTCTGACTTTTCATATGATCTCCAGGACACTGATGGGAAGCATATGGAAGCTCTGAAATGTTCAATCATTTCTTGTGGCAGTGTTAGGACCTCACTGTGACCTCCAAAGTTCTTAGCCTAAAACCACTATTTGTCTTGCTTTGACCCATTTTAGAGCCTGTAAAATCAATTGGAACATATATGGGTCAACTTTGGCTCAGAACTGTTTGAGTGTATTCAAACAAAGGCATGATAAATTTGTGAATTTTGTGTAACGCAGCATGTGCTGATTAATAAGAAGTGGCAATGACAATTTAATTATTGTCATATTAAGTTGAATATTCTTAGGCCATGCAGTGTCTTTGACCCCAAGGTAGAGAAAGTGGCATAAGTCGTAGTTTGAGCTATACATACATAGACTGTGAGTCAGCTGCAGAGTCTGCACAGTCTACACGTGCAGCACACATAGCAGCAGATACCTCACACATGTGTTACTTACATCAGTTTTCCTAAACTTGGCTTTGAGGCTCTTCATGTTCAGTCCAGTCCATGCAGTCACCCACTTCTTAAATCACTACAAGGAAAACAAGACATAAACTCTTATGAGAATTGAAGATTTTTTTTTTCTGCCACCACCATATTATACTGTTATGGTCATTAGTAAATGTCAGCTAAGGACCCGAGTCTGTGCACGGCAGTGGGCAAGTTACTGTTTTGTTTTTTGTTTTATAAAAGGTATCATTCTCTTTCCTGGCCTTATTTACACATGACATATATTCTACTTCAGGACTTTTCAAACAATCATTCCTGCCTTCTAGAACTACCTTTCTTTCATGACAATAGTTACAGACAGAAATGACTAAGCCACTCTGCATATCTCATATAATGTGTAGGAAAATAAAGAGATGGAGTATGTGGGTAGGCAGTGGACAGTGTGAAAAGCATGGCTGCTGGTGGGTGTATCAAGGATAGTCAAGGCTGAACTGCTTTGTCAAACTGCTATTTACATCGAGGTTCTCAGCTCTACGGCTATTCTTTGTTTTTACTTTCACAATGTCACGAAATAATATGATATTTTTCTACATACTGAGCATTAGCGATAAACTCTGCTGAAGCACAGTAAGGTTTTCTTCCAGTATTATAATAATTCACTCACTGTTTCTGACCATTTGAAGAAGCCGCTACTCGACATATGAAGTGCGTTCAGCTGACATTATAGGATGTTATGAAAAATGATTAACCTGGCAACCTATTGTAGACTGGATCAGCATGCGCGCCCTGTGCGAGCATCAATGGGCACAAAACACAAGAATGTGCGATTGTACGCTTTTTAACAGCTCCAAGAGGCTAAACAATAGCTGTACGGGGGTAGTATTCTTTAATTTAAAACCTAAACCCACGAACTGCCAAGACGGTGATTTTACGCAACAAATAAGTTGTGAATAACTGGACACCACTTACCTTGATACTAGTCCAGAATGAAACATATAAAACAAGTGGCACACAGATTGACTTGAAGGGAGAATTAGCAGCAGCAGTGTCGGCGAGTAAACCGCGAGTTGCTTCGGAGCAAAGTCGAGCCGATCTACGTAAAGAAGAAAAGTGTCGGGCTGATTGTGCCCGTTCCCGGGCAGCAAACATCAAAAGTTGTGGTGTTCACAGAGCTGCCTGTCTTTGCTCTGGGCTCAAAGGCTGTCCGCTTCAATGCAGTGTCGTCACTCCCCCTGCTCCGTGAGCGCAGACTCGAGCTCATTGTGCCTCATTCTTCAGGTTCAGGCCAACACTGGGAACACTGGGAACACTGGCTGGAGCATGGGGGCTTCTGCTGTTATCACAATCCAAATATCCACAGTCTGCTAGAGGGAAGAAGTAAATGTTGTCTTTTCATTTAATATTCATTCTTCAGTCAAAAGTTCAAGTTCTGTGATATTTGGCTAAATGCATTAAATAAATAATGCCCTGTTTCAGAAGCAGCATTAGACCTAGAAGTATGCTACATGCAGTCATTATTCAACAGGGCTCAAAAGTTCAAAACAAGAACTTGAGCTTGTGTGAATTTCATTCTTCTACTAGGTCTCGGGTGTGAACTTAATTAGGCACATGAACAGTTAAAATATGCTACCCCTTCTTATCAAACAAGTCGTTTGTGTGTGGACACAAGGAACAATACGTCAAAACGCAATCAAAAGAAGCCGAACCTCCATAAAATCTGCATTGGTCTATGTAATGGCGTCATCTAGCGGCATATCTTTCTACGACTACGGCCAGAAAATTAATGAATAAAATACAAACGTATGCCTGTGTTGGTTGCCTGTTAAAAATAATAAGCATAATAATACAAATAATAATAATAATATATTTTTTGCAGTTAACCAATCCATACGTTTCAACTAAAAACCTTATAAAAGTATCTTAATCATAAAACAGATGTATTGGTAATTATTGTTCAAATATTTTGTATTAAACATTGTTTTTATTGGTTTGGAGTGGTTGACTATTAATCAAGGGGAAGCTCAAATCTAATCAATTAAGATGCAATTGCTGTCATGTGACTACGAAACAGAGAGCGTATAATGACAAGATAATTAATTCAATAGTATTGTCGGATCAAACTAAATTAAAATAGGACTCTATCTACAATTCCAACCTTTTCTAATTAAGACTTCACAATCACCAAATTCTATCGGTAAGAGAGTTAACATGAGTTAGAGCAATAAAATGTTTTATTTATTTTTTACCCGGAAGTCGCTTATAAGCCAAAGCGGAAGTGCTAAATCTGTAACATCATACAGACACATCAAAACAAACAGCGCTGACATTACAGCTTGGCTAGCTGTTGAATATTGGTCTTTACTCGCCATCATGCTGAAATCATGTTGCATATACAGCACTGGAATATTTTCTATCTTAATTCTTATTTTAGGCATTTCATTGGTGTTGTCTAGCGTGTTTCCACATTTCCTTCAGGCGCTGGTGAAAAAGGTAAACAAAAATATTTTCTGTGTTCAGTGGACAGCTTTTTGCCATTAAGACTGCTAGACTGCATTTGAATCATTAAGTTTTTTGTAGTAAGACTGAAATGCATTGTGTTTTATTCTAATTGTACAACAGACCGTTTCAATCTGTGTTGTGGATGTTATTTACAAAATGTTTGGGTTGTTTGGAGTGGGTATTTTATAGGATTGTGTTATACAGTGTAAAGTATTCCAAGTTTTGACATTAAGAGAGAATTTTTTTAAATCATGTCGATAATCTACATGTTCATGGTTGTCCAAAAATGTGTTAGCACACAAAGATAAAGTACCACAAATGACTCACTCTTGGAGCTGAGTAAATTGTGCTTTTGTGCAGTGACTGCTTTTGTCATATGATTTTCAGAGTGCAGACTCAGCAGCGTATTATACTGAGAACTCGTATTTTGGCTTCCTGTGAGAATATCTGACCCACTGCCCTTTGTATTCAACAGGAGGTCATTTTGAAGAATGGCACAGAAGCATTTAATGCTTGGGAGAATCCACCAGCTCCCATCTACATGCAGTTTTACTTTTTTAACCTGACCAATCCACTGGAGGTCCTGGATGGCGAAAGGCCTGCTGTTGTGGAGATTGGACCATACACTTACAGGTGAGGAAGGAAAAATCAATCAATCAATCAAACTTTATTTGTATAGCACTTTTCATACATTTAAAATGTAGCACAAAGTGCTTCACATGCAACAGAAAAATTACAATACAATAATTAAAATCAAGAGCAACCCCCCATCCCATCCCTTTGTTTCATCCATATATACAACCATTTAAACATAAACATAAAAACAAAAACATAAAACTCCTAAAGGTTATTATAAAAATCAAAATGGAGAGCTAAAATCAAATGGAGACAAAGTAAAACAGTAATGATAATTTAATTTAGAATAAATAAATATAATAATAATAATAATAATAATAATAATATAATTTAAGTTAAGACAGATAAAAGTTTCAATTAAAAGCTAAATTAAAAAGATAGGTTTTGAGCTTACTTTTAAAAATATGAACACTCGCAGCGGACCTCAGATCCTCAGGCAGACTGTTCCACAAACGGGGGCCATAAAAGCTGAATGAGGCCTCACCGTGAGTTTTAGTCTGGACTCTTGGGACAGTTAAAAGAAGACTACCTGAGGACCTGAGAGTCCGAGAGGGCTCATATGATAAAAGCAGATCAGATAAATAAATAGGACTAAGACCATTAAGAGCTTTATAAACTAATAAAAGAACTTTAAAATCTATCCTGAAGCTCACAGGAAGCCAGTGCAGAGACTTCAGTACTGGGGTGATGTGCTCTCGCTTCCTGGTCCTTGTCAGCAGTCGTGCTGCAGAGTTTTGGAGGAGCTGCAATGGAGCTGTGGATTTCTTTGGAAGACCAGAAAGGAGAGCATTGCAGTAATCAACACGATTTGTAATAAAAGCCCTGGTTGAGCTGCAGGAAGTTTGCTGCCATCCAGGACTTAATATCTAAAATGCAGTTAAAAAGGGTGTCGATCGGGCTCAGGTCACCAGGAGACACGGCTATAGAGTTGGGAATCATCAGCGTAGCTATGAAAGTTAACACCGTGTCTCCTGATGACCTGTCCTAGTGGCAGCATGTAAAGATTAAAAAGGGTTGGACCTAAAATTGAGCCCTGGGGAACACCGCACTCCATTTTACGTAACACTCAGTCTCCATTTAATCATGTTTTTTTAACCACCATCATCTTACCACGTAACAGCTCAGAAAAATGCTATACACATTATGCTTCAACCATACCCATGCTCACATTCACTTATGTGCCTAGTGAATATAAAATAGGATAGATTATAAGCATAGGTTAATAACATTTGCAATTCCTAGTGTGTCACTACTGTCCTAATCTTCTCTCCCTTAATTTTTTTTTAAAGATTATAACAATTAATTCTTAACCTAATTCTTCACAATCCATGCAACTATCTAGTATAATAAAATATTGGTAAAATGTTTTATCTTTCCTGGAATGTAAATTGGTATTCCATTTAATTGTAAAGTATCTTTTCATCAGAGAATATCGACCAATGGAGGAAGTCAGCTTTTTAGAAAATGGAACCAAAGTATCAGCTGTCAACACTAAGACTTACATATTTCAGCCAAACATGTCAAGAGGCCCAGAGACTGATCTCATCAGGACTGTTAATATCCCTGCAATGGTGAGACCTTCACATTTTTAATAAAGTTGATGTGATTTAATTATTTTGATATTATTCAAAGTACATATGCAACTAATCACTCCTTTTGTGCATAAACAGACTGTCATGGACAAATTCAAGAATGAACCTATTTTCGCCAATTTAATTTCTGCTTACATGAGGTCCTTAGGGGAAGGCCTATTTACCACCCAAACTGTTGGGGAACTTCTCTGGGGGTATGAAGATGAACTACTTAAAACACTCAAGAAGCTTCAACCGGATATTGATGATGTTTTTGGGCTCTTCTACAAGGTTCTGTATTTTGTTTTTTGTTTTTTTACCTTGCATACCTTTTGTATTTTACTATTCATATAGTAAAATAGACATATTTTTGCAATGTTTATTTCCTTTTTCAGAATAATGCTTCCAATGATGGAGAATATGTTTTTTTGACTGGTCTGAAAAATTACAAAGACTTTGCAAGGGTGGACACGTGGAATGGTAAAAGGTAACTGCTCATTATTGCTTGAATATTTAAACTAACTATAACCAGCCCACATACTGTAGGAGATTATTTCTGTTTATATAGCTCCTTGGATTGGTGGACAACTGATGAATGCAACATGATTAATGGCACCAATGGAGCTTCTTTTCATCCTGTTCTCTCTAAAAATGAGGTGCTCTACATGTTCTCCTCAGATCTGTGCAGGTTAGTAAATTAAAGTAATTCAAAACTCTGTCTGGGTCAGTTTCTCAACACAGCTCATTCTCAGCCAGTCTAAGAAAGTCCAGTTAAGCCTTTTTCATGCGGATTGCATAGATTAAGGATATCTATTTAACCCGCCAGGACTCTAAATTAAGGTCAGTAGCGCCTTACAGCCTTACTGTTCAAAACTTGTTTTAACTGTCATTATATCTACGAATGTATTTGTTTAAATTGAGCTTTTGTTAAACAAAAAATAACACTGCTGAAGAAAGAGTCCATGGATCCATTTGAAAAAGAGATGAAGGGCCTCAGCAATAAAAAAAACAAAACATTGTAACATTGATAACCACTGGTACATTCTGTATTGGTTCCAGTATAAAAGGAATTAATTTAAAAGGTCTATTATAATTACAGTATTGGTGATTATTCTTTCCTTTGTCCAGATCTCTATATGCAGAATATGAAGAGGATGTTACAGTAAAAGACATCCCGGGGTATCGTTTTAGTCCTCCCAGTAAGGTCTTTGCGAATTTGACAGTCAACCCAGACAATGCTGGTTTCTGTGTCCCTGCTGGAAACTGCCTAGGCTCAGGAGTGCTCAATGTCAGTGTATGCAAAGGTAAAACTGTACTTGTGTTGACTCCAATGTAGCATTGTCATTGTCTCACCATTTATGTTTTGAATTTGTATTTAGGGGCACCAATTTTGATGTCCTCCCCCCACTTCTACCAAGCTGATGATAAATTTGTCCAGGACGTCTTTGGCATGAGGCCTAAAAAGGAATGGCACCAAACCGCCATAGATCTAAATCCAGTATGTTTTCTTCTCCACTAGATGGCAGACACATACAAAAGCATGCTTCTTTTACAAGATGTGGTTAAAAATTAAATATTTGTGCATGGTACCAGGCTGCTCCTGACTGATAAGTGTGTCTTATCAGCGTTTATAGGTGAACACCAGGAAGATCTGTATAATCAAGGAAATGGAGCTGGTGTCTTTGTAATTAAACCTTTACCTGACAAAGATGAAAAATTATTGCAAATACTTGCTGAATTATGTTATGGTTTATAAAGAACTGAAGTCCATAATTTCAACTGTAATATTTGACCCTTGAATGATCCCCATTCATCTTGTGATATAGAAGCCTGTAAACTAGCTACTGGTCTTTACGGTTACACTTGTCTGATTAAGTTTTATGATTCATCATAAAGCCTTAGGTGTCAGTGCACTTGGGTCATATCTAGTGCCAGCTGAAATGCATAACAACAACTGACTAAGAAACCATACATACTTTAATTTCTTTTTGTTTTTTTATGTAGTTGACAGGAATTGTTCTACAAGCAGCCAAGCGCCTCCAAATCAATGTCTTTGTACAGAAATTGAGTGTTTTCAGGTAATTAGTTTTCACACCATTTCTCATTTGTTCTTCTTTAATGCTATTCAGTCAACACAGTCAGACACAATCTATAATTTACTAAGCAATTGCCACTGTCGTCATGATGATGATGATCATCATCATTATAATCAGACTTTTGAACACTGCTAGCTTCCTTATGAGTAAACACTACACCTCAGTACATAAACTGTCTGAATTTTCTTGGAAATGTCTGTATGTGTTAAATTGTTTGTTTCTTTCTTGTAGTCAAACTGGGAATGTACCCACCGTGATCTTCCCTGTGGTGTGGCTCAATGAGGTTTGTATTAGGTTTTATGCACAATAGTTGAATGATAACATGTGATTTGAATTTGACAGTGTAATGTCTGTCTCCTGATGTATGTCAGAGTGTTGTTATTGACGACGCCTCAGTGCTGAAGTTAAAGATGGTCATGGTGGAGCAGACTGTTTTGGTAAATCTTCCATTCATGCTGATTGGCCTGGGCATCCTCATAGGACTGCTCTATATGTTCCTCATGTGTCGGCAGAAGATTCCAGAGGTAACACCTACCTACCTAGAAACAGTAATCATGACTTATCCATAGTAAAATATATCTAAATATTTTAATTATCTGCTGTGCTTTGTGTGATTTTCAGAGTACTGCTGCTGAAAGAGAGCCTCTTCTTTCATCATAGCAATGCAAAGAAGCTTGTAAAGCTCACCCTGTACAACTCGTACCACTAATGCTAAGTGTTGGCTTCATTTCATACAATTTATAGACATGACTTTTTCTTTGTAAATATAGGTGCACTATCAGCAAGTTTACTGGTAAATTAAAAGGGAATGCTATATTACACACAGGCCAAATTGTATGATTAATTATTTTCATTTAATATGACCAAATAGATCAATAATATTTTCTGATTTTACAACAAAGTGAACAAAACAGTTGTGTATATCAATATATATATATCAATATATATATATTGATATATATTGATATGATATATAGGCAGTGGTTCTCAAACCGTGGTCCAGGTACAACTGGGGGTATGCTTACCTAGAGGGTACATGAGGAGGATGGGGAAAAAAGGAAATAGCCATTTTTATAAGAATTTTTGTGATTTAGATCTCCCATGCAAATATAAATGTTTTAAATGTGATTTATATGCTTTAATATAATTAAAAAAATCTTACTAACTATTATACTGTATATTATATGATGTGTACAGCATTTACAGACATTTTCTTCAAATACACTGGATTAGGGAGTACATGATTCAAAAGAGTTTGGGAACCACTGCTCATTATTAGGGATTCATTTCTGGTGCCTGGGCACAGATAGAGTGATTTAAATAATATATTTTAATCCTTTAATGTCTCAAACTGTAAGCCATTCACTCAGAATATTGTCTGATTATCTTGCCAAAAACACTGAAGTTGAATAGTTGAGTAGTTATGCATGTTATTGAGCATAATTGCACTTTTATTTGATTGTTCCTGGAAGTAACTTTTGCCTAAAACATTTGTTAATTTCTGTACTTAACCACAGACAGTATTTGCTGCAGTTTTGTGTGACATTGTGCTGGTTGTACTGCATATATTTATACTCCACACTACAGGTTTTGCAGACTGCAAATATAAACTTTCACAGTTCATAGGTGAAATATCTAATCAACACTGTATTGCGTTACTATCATATATGTTCAGTAAACATATTAAAATTTCTTATTGTCTTTAACTTTCTTGATATTGATGTCAATATTTTTTTAAATATAATTTTAGCTTTACGGTGACCCTAAATACCCAATCTTTTCCCAATTCTAAGAATAATAAAATCTAAAAGACTAATTTAATCTGTATCTCCAAAGCACCTACAATAAATTAAACACATTGAATTTTGCAATAATAATGCTGTAATGAATTTCACTCTTTTTTTTTTTTTTTTTTTTTACATTCTATGTCTAAAAAAAATCCTCAAAACTAAACTAAAACTAAAAAAGGTTCTTTGCAGATAATATAGTTTAATAATATGTATATAGTACAGTACATATAAATGTACAGGCTATTTCACTGTTTTACACAAAGCAGTACTCAAATACTGAACACTTAAAATCAGACCTTACAACGTGGAATGTCCTTTATAACCCAGATCAAGTGTAATTTACTCAGTGGCAAACAACCTTTGACCGTCAATAATAAGCCGATAAGAACCAGTGTAAAGCTAGTTTTGAAACCTACAAGTCAATAAATTGAGATTAATTTAAAAATTATCTCTTGATAAGAAACTCCTCCCAAACCCAATTAGAAGCTATAATACAAAGCTGAGCCCTTCCACCACAGAGAAGGATACCTCATCACCTCTCTTCAGCATGGCCAAAATTCAGCACACAATTGTTGTTCTATCTGTTGTCCTGATTTTGATCTCTACTTTCCAAGTAAGTTACTATTTTTCTATATTTTTATTTTTTTCTTATCTATTTTTGAATCCTCAAATTTATTTATCTTTTATTTGACAGGTGAATTCATTGCCTGTCCCTGATGACTGGACTGGTGTGATCCTGAGAACAAAGCGGTCCCTGTTGTGGCGCTGGAACAGCCTGAAGGCCGTAGGGGCAAGCTGTCGAGACCACTCTGAGTGTGGCACACAGTTCTGCAGGTAGGACCACTTTTAGGACATGTTTTGTATTTAGTTGTTATTGTTAAAGCTTTTAGATCATCAGATTATTGTGTGTTATTTGAAATGATCTTTGTACTTTGGTTTATGATTTCAATAATATAACTTGTGATCTCCACAGGAAGAATACATGTTCCTTTTGGAAAACACCTTGAGATGGAAACTGCAACAAAAACAACTCCATCTGGTCCTTGTCCTTAAATTTGAATTATGGGCCGAAGTTACAAGAGCATAAGTGGAATGTAGAACCTGGACTTTTTCCTCACAAAGCTGGAACTGGAACTAAACAGCACAGTTGTAAACTGCTTCAACATTTTGTCTGCTTTAGTGAGGATGTGATATCTGTGTATTTTTCTTAAGAAAATATAAACAATTCTTACAACATGCTTTAGATTTTTTGTACTATTTATGCATCATGTAAACATGTAAATACACCAATGTCAGGAATGTATTTGTAAATAACTGCTCACTTTTTGTTATAAAACCTTTTTCTATATAATTTTGGATTTAATTGCCTATTTGGTATTCAAACACACAACTACGTTTCGTAACTGAAAATTTCTATTGGAGATCTTTGTATGTAAAAAAAATAAAATTATATATATATATATATATATATATATATATATATATATATATATATATATATATATATATATATATATATATATATATAATATTTGTGAAACACTACAGGAGGAATCGAATGGACTTCAGTTACCACTAGAGGGCTAACTTGCAATGCAAAATAACACCATTCGAAAGCATTTCGAAAAGGCAAAAAAAAAAAAACGATACTTGTGACAGTTAAGGTAGTTAACGGGCAATTGTAGTATTATCCTGACCTGACTCTAAGAAAACCTTTCTCAGCTACCTTAAACATATGATACTGTTTTATATTGAAAGGAGTGAATTCCTGAGTGAATTAGCCTATCCTCCAAGGTGTCAGTGATTGGGCGACTGCCAGCCCATTCTCTGTTTTCATTGGACTAGAGCGTAATGACGCAACGCCTCGTCCAGCGCCTGTGCGCGGTGCTGAAGCTGTGCCGGACCGCTTTGTCCAGAGCCAATGTCGGACCGGTCTCGTGTTACCCAGATGTTAACCTACAGTTATAAATAGTGCACATCAGTTTTTGCTTAGGCAGCAGAATTTAATTCTGAAGAAAAATGCCCTTTTATCAGATTTGAGCGCCGGATGTTGCAGCGCTCATCCGCACCTTTTGATAAAGCATTTATTTCATGCTATTTCTGATGATTTATCGACTCTTTTTGAAAACCTTTCAAGTGACGCTGATAACGAATATGGACATTGGATGAGAGAACGACCAAAAAAGACTGAAGTAAGTATCATATAGTGACGTACATCATTTCATTCATCACAATGTCGATGTTTAGGCCACTTCATTGGTGCGTTATTAGTTTGAAGTTTTATTTTATTGGTTTTCATCTTATTGCTCTATGTTCTTTTAAGCTTGATCTTAATATTATGTTTTTTCTTAGCTTTCTATTATTGCATGTTCATTATGAAACCAAAAAGACAGGCGTTTTTATTTTATTTATTATCTATTTTTTCTGTGATTTTTGTCTAAAAGTTTAATGTAGACTATAGTTCCTAAGAAAGCATTAATGTAGGCTACTCGTAGTCATGTAGGCCCTACCATGGTTTAATTAAACATATTTTTGTTATTGCCATTGCGATATGGTCTTTTCCATATAAATTATGTTGACTAGAACTAGATGTTTCTTTAAATTGGCTTTAATCCACAGTGTATGCCACTTCTCCTGTGGATATGAACCAAAGCCCGTGTACCCTTAGAAAAAAGAAAAAAAAAACTCTGACGGGACTGGCATAGATTTGTCCTGGAAACTTCCAGTTCTATAAACATGCAGAGACATTTCAACTTCTCCATTAAGTCAGTCAAAATGGTCTACTTCACGACAGCACTGGAATACTGACCTGTTATATAAAGTGAAACTAAATACAGTGTCTCCACTCCTGCTGCTCTGGAACATATTAGAATAGATCATTTAATTAACTTCATCCTAATAAAGCGATAACTGAGTTACTATTCATTGACAGGTTTTTTATTTGGTTAAGGGAGTGCATGGTTTTGGATCTGTTTTAGTTATTCTATTTTTACTCACAATTTTTATTTTTATTTTGACTGAGGATTAAGGTCACCACATTGCATAAATATATCTGATGTCTTGAAGTGGGCTAAAGATTGTGCTGCTCAGAGAAATGTGAGACTTGGTTTAGGATCAGAATCCATCCATAATGATTTCCAAATGAGGATCAGGTATACAGACAAATAAACTTTTGTGCCAGGAGCCAAGGACTAAGTAATGGCTCATTATTTTTGCTGTTAAGGTTTTTAAACCAAATTGAGAAAAAAATAACAAAATAACAAAACTAAACACCATGAGCTCTCATATGCAGTTTACAAATAATGACAGACACAGTGTGTAGCCTTACATTTTAATATGTGTTCTGATGTATGTGTTATTATAATATCTGTCACTTTACTGCAATATTTGTGAGGATGCTCACTTTGTGTTAATCTGTTACGTCGGTTTTGTGCTTATATATTTCACGTTATGGACCATTTGCAATTCAAATGTGTATGTGACAGCTCACAGTTTGCCTATTAATATAGTTGACATCATATTAATGAGCAAAATGTACTCCAACTTCTCAGTTGAATTTGTCTCCGCTCACACTTGAACTCCTGAGGTTAGGTTAGAGACTGACAGTGGCTTTGTAGTTAGTGCCGGTGGAGCATCACTGCAGTGCAGCTGCCCTAGTTACAGAGGCGCTGAGTAAGTGTGAGCAGCAGTGGTTGGTTGGGGCTCTGTGGGGAGGGGTCTGTTAATAGTTGATTGAATCGTAGAGCGTGGCTCTGCCATGGACCACAGCACAGAAACACAGTAGTTTAACACAGTGACCAGTACATAGTCTACAGCTGTACTTTAAATTATACTAGCTTAAACACATAAAGACTTCAGCAGTATAGTGTGTTCAAAACAAGGGGCAGAGTCTGTCCAAAGGCAGAAAAATATTCAAGAATATAAAAGCATTTGGTGTGCAAAACATCTAAATCTACATTATTTTACAACTCAGATGTTGTGCCCTTTACAGCAAAATTTAATATATTCCCTTACTTTATTTTCTGTAAATCTATGTTTTTTTGTATACTCTCTCTTTCAGAGAAATATTCATCACAACGTTCCAACAGTCCTTTCCATTATGATTGGTGCTTCTAGTCAGTCAGGGGACACGCTGGTAGCATGTCATTTCCCAGTGGTGCAGCTGCCTTCATGGCAGCTTCCTGTCCAGTACAGCTCAGAGAAGAGGCCCAACCGCCTGTGCACAGCAGGACTGACCAGGGCTGTGTCCCTGCCTGAGAGGGACTCTCTGAACAGAGAACATGCTTTTAATGGTGTGCGCAGACATTTGTCCAGCAGCTACAGCAGTCTGACAGAAGAGCGCACAGAGGAGGAGGGCACCAGTGACAGCAGTGGCAGGTACGAGCCCTCCTCCTCCCCAGAAGACAGCAGCTCTCAGCTCAGGAGAGCCACCCATCAGGGCAAAACTTGTGTGCGCTTTCACAACTCCTTCCTCCCCAGCTCAGAAATGGATGAGGACGAGGAGGATGAAGATAGTGATGGGGATAATTTGCATCGATATTGTGAGGATTCTTCATTTGTTTTGCATGGAAACACAAACTGGCCTGTCACTAATGGTATAAGAGATCTAATCAGTGATAGTGACTGGGGCAATGAGGGGGCAATGTTTGGCTCTGAGTTCAACCAAGAATGGATTTCTGACCAACCAAATCAAATGGACAATCTGCAGGGCAAATGCCAGTGCTATCACATAAATGATGCGAGCATAGCACTGATGGCCAATGTAACCCAGAGCTCAAACAGAATTAAGAACAGCGTGTCCTGCTGTATTCACAGTCTGCAAAAGTGCTCTCCTGAGCTGTTCCCTCACAGTGACTCCTCTTGTAACAGTTCTGATGGCATCCTGGTCAACTTCTGCACTATTTACAACAGGAGCAACAACCCTGCTACTCCCCTGGACCTCAACAGTCCCACACTGGAGTCAGCCCAGGGCTCTGTGTTCCTAAATCTCCATCCTGTACCACACAGTCCACAGCAGGAGCTCCGAGCTGAGACTGTGCTCTCCCCGCATGCCCTGGACTCCAACTGTAACCTTTATTGTGTGGAGCCTCTGCCCGCTGGTCTCTCCTCTCTGGAAGCCTCAGATCTAAACACCTGTTTTCAAAGTCGAGCTGCTCTGCCTATGGGAACCAATCAGAAGTACTATAAGCTTGTGTCATGTGACCTCTCTTCCCAGACACCCAGTCCTGCCTTGTGCAGCTCCATCAGCTGCCCTGTGGGACAGAGCAAGAGCAGCCCTCCCTCTTGGGGGGATCATCAACAAAATGAACCCAAAGAGGTATGTAGTAGGCGCTTATTTAAAAGCGTCATGTTCAAGTACATGCCATTTAAATAAATGTCTAGCACAATTATTTTGGAAAATTTTGCTCCAGAATATTATTATCTGTTTTACTGTTGTTTATTAGAACTTAAACATAAAGAAATTATGCTAATAATAATTGCCCATTTGCATACTATAGTTTCCGGAGTAGAAACACCATCTAAAAAGCCACTGTACATTTGGACTACCTCCATGAACAGACATAATCTCTGATGTGTGTATCTCTAACAGGGCAGAGGGGAGCAGCATACGGATGGGTGCTTCTGTATACCAGAGTTCCCTGTCGCCTCCACGTCCACAGCGGAATGCTGGAGGAAGCACCTCCTCCACACAGCATGTTTCCTGAGCTCCAGCCAGAGCAGCCCACAAGGCAGTAAGTGCCAGGGTACAAGCACGGAGACTCAGCCATCTGGGCTCTTGGACTGTGATCACAGTGATGAACAAGCCACTGACAGGGGTAAGGACTGATCACTATTATTACTGGGTGGTAACCATCTTCAGACAAACATGCACTCAGTGTCTTTGTAAGTTGAGTGGTAGTGGCAAAAAAGAAACTTGGAAAAACAGACCTAGTCATAAAAAATATATCAACATGGTTCACCTTGACTATTGCCCCTAGTTCACTTGAATCAATTTTTGAGGAGACTGCTAAACGGGGATGTGGCCAGTGATCCAACCCATGCATCAGGCAGAAGGTATAGGGTCCCAAGATGTAAATTGAACAGATTTGAACATTCTTATGTGTCTTTAGTCATTAATCTGCTAAACTCCAAGATTGCAGTTAAAAAATAAAAATAAATCATAGACAAGTGACAATGCAGCCACCTCTTGCATACAGGCTTAGAGAATGTGCAATCATAATTATGCATAGGTCAAGGGAATATGCAGTTACTAATAGAACAGAAGACTGTGAAGGGCTTACCTGCATAGAGTGACTTAAATGTCCCTGATGGTGTATAATTCATGGTTATACCTGGTCTCTTACTCATTTATATTCACTGGTGTTGTCAACACTGTTGTCTTTTTTGTGTTAAAGCATGTGACCCTCTGTCCCAAGAAAGATTTCTCCCATGGGAGACAATAAAGGGTTAAGGATCTTAGATAAAAATTTAACTCTGTTTCCTAGGAGGAAGATAATCTGCTATGATTGCCAAGCAATTAATTTATTTGTATGGTAAACAAATGTAACAATTGACATTTTGTGAATATAAAAGTTGTGGATGTCACTTTGTCTTTCATCTTCTCTTACTTACAGAGCTGTGCTCAGGCTATACCGCTGTGGAGCGCCACACTAAAGCTCAGAGGCCGACCTCACTTCCCATCCAGCCGTTTGTCCTGGTCCCCACAGAAAAATCTCCTGCTCAGTCTCAGCTCCTGGGTGGCCTTCTTGAGCAGTACATTCATCAAAAGAACAGTAGAGGAGTCAGCTCCCAGCCAAGCTTCACTTTTAAGGGCAAGAGAAGTCAGTGCTTTACTGATATGCAGCTCTCTCCTATGGGCAGCCAATGTCCCATCTTTCTTGAGGCTCCCTCCAGCTCAGACACTTGTTCTACCTGTACACCTAGTCCTGATTGTTTCCGACACATATGGAGCCGATCAGGGACAAGTCCTGCCATGCTACAACCAAACAGCAAACTCACATATGATCAAACTAGCCCTTACTCAGACAAAGATGTACTTTTAGTGCCTAATAAAGCCACACTGGTGAAAATTCCTACATACCGCAACCTTATCCACCTTACCCCAGAGCAGCAAGATAATCAGCTGAACAAGTCTAAATGTAGCAGCTCCAAAAGTTCATGCACGATGACCCCACCCACTTTACCTCTAACAGATGACACCCATCACCTAAATCAGGTGTCAGTGACTCCACCCTCTCCTGTATCAGACCAGAATAAGCTGCCCCAGTATTGCTCTTCACCTGCTCCTAGGTTTATGCACAGCACCCTGACAGCAGCAGTGTCTTCTGCAGCCCCTCTCTCCTCTCTGCTGAGGTCCTGGACTTCCTATGGGACTAGTGGAAGATATGGCCAGCCCAGTGGGATGCCATCTATAGAGGTCTGCCGGTCCCCTGATACGTCCTATGAGTCTATGTCCATCAGCTGTCTTCAGAGGAGAGGTATGAGTGAGTATGGGAGCAGATATAGCAGTTTCATTCTCACTGGGGTCGAGACTAAGAACTACAAAACAGATTTAAACTCAGCATATCAAAAATATAGGCTATATGAAAGAAGCATATCACATGTCTCATTTTTATCTGCCTTAGAAATGTTATTTTATACTGGTTATTTTATTGTATTATTTAGAGAACATTCATTTTTTATCAGGCTCAAACACATCTATATTCCTTTTCTAACTATATTCCTTTTCATCTACATTGGAGAGCTGTAGAGACATTATTTTATTTCTATCAATCAAATCCTGTCACATGTGTCAAACTAGATTAGAGAGATGGTGGCTGTGACTATTGCACATTGCATACACATGTGATTATGGACTGTGAAGATCAGTGGTAGAGGCTGACTGTGCTGCAGCGGTGCCTTCAGTCCCCTGAAGGGGCTTCCTCTCAAACATGACCTATTTTTAACTCTCCCTGCTTGGGATTGGCTGAGCTTGTGCTGTGTAGCCTATGTGTGTTTGCTTTTGTCAAGTGCAAGCAAGGATCAGAGGAACAGATCAAGTACTTACAAAACCTAAGGATTTAGTGATTTATTAGTTTTGCTGTAGTAGTTATATATTGCCACTTTACCTACAGAAAATACCTCTTTGAGAGCCATCTAAACACTGGTACAAGCTCCATGGTTGAAGACAGTGTGGTTAGCTCTGCAGGCAGCATCCACATGCATTAAGAATTTAGTCTGACATTTGCAGAGGCTCATCAGAACGATGTGAGGAAATGAAGCAGGCAAGACACTGAGAATAGAGACTGCGGGTTTTACTCTTAATTCTACTCCATTTCTGCTCTTTGATAATGAATTCTGAAATTCTTGCATTGCATTGCATTGACCTAGTTATGTGAAAAATTATGAATTTTTCATATCTTTTCAATACTTGGATTTCTTTTTGCTTATCTGAAATGTTTCGTTTGCTTTACCTTCATTGTTTTATGGTACCACATTTCGTGTTCACATGTTAGGTTTGCTGAGAGCCGTTAGCAGAGCAGTGGATTTAATCATGGCACATTTTGGCAGCAGCAGAGACCCAGAGGAAAAGGTAGCATTTAACAACTTAACTCCACATGGAAGCTACTATTTGTAATTACTAACTGTTTACATTTTGTCTTGTAGTTGCGGCTAGGTAACAGCTCCCGCAGTCCAACCATTGCTGGCTTAGTTCTTGAACATTTGTGTCCATCAATACAGAATATTCTGGAAGATGGTCTAAAAGACCACAAACTGGATCCAATCATTGGACAAAGACCAACCCACTCCTGGAGGGTCGTGGAAGTCTCCACAAGGGCAGGTAATTCATGGTTTACAGTTTACAGTCGCCATTCTGAGGACTTTTGACTAAAAATATAGAAGACACGTAATCTCTCTCTCTCTCTATATATATATATATATGAATATGTATATGTGTGTGTGTGTGTATATATATATATATATATAATGTTGTTTGCAGGTCCATCCACGAAAGTTCTCAACTGTCTGGTTTCAAAAATCAAACAATATCCACAGCTCACAGACCACTATATGAAACTGAGAGCCTTCATCATGGGACTACTCAAGTAAGTCTAAGAAAAAGCACATACATTAATGAAAAAATGGAAATATCAAGGTAATGGTACATTATTATACGTTAACATCTAGTCTAATGTGTGTTAAAATGCATTGCTCCTTGTTTAATCCTTATATACTGTATATCATATATGTTCATTAGCCAAATCAAGAATAATTAGGCCAGCTGGATTTCCAATTATTATAGTTGTTAGATAGTTATAGCTAGTTAATGTAATTATATTGTATTAAGTGAACAGTATAAAGTGTGACACCGAAAAATATACGAAATATCAATCATTATATAATATATTACACATTTTTAATCAGAGAAATCACTCGTTTTGTTTAATGAAGATACATTAAGTTTTTCTGTGCTATAGCCTCAGATCTTTGGAGTTCTGGCTTAGTCATCTTAATAATCAAAAAGGTAAGATTAAAATAAACAGTATTACTGATATTTTAGCATTTGACTTTTTGTGTGATGATTGTATACTTGCTGCCTCTCCGGTAGATGTGGTGACTAGTCACTATCACTCATGGGGGTTCCTGTCCATGACGCTATGGCACTGTCAGCCACTGTTCCAGGAGCTGTTACTTTTGCTCCAGCCACTCTCTGCGCTGCCTTTTGACCTGAACCTGCTGCTTGAGGCCCGACTCTTATATAATAGACAGCTCTGCTCCAAGGACCAGGGGGCTTCTTCTCCAGCGCCTCCCTCAGGTCTCTTAGCCACCAGCTGGCCACTCCTGCAAGCTAACAGGGTGCATGATGCCCACAGCAATGCACAAATCAGCAATTCACATCAAGAACATGAGTGGCACCGAACATCATCTCAACAAGAGACACAAGTGAGCAGCGGCATGTGCGCTGTTCCTACTCCAGAATGGTGGGCCAGAGAAGGTCTGGTTGAAGGTGAAGACTGTAGCCAGGATGGTGCTGATCACTGGTCCCAGATAAGTATGGAGAGCAAACAGGAGGAGCAGAAAAACGTGCCCGTCCCAAATGAGAGTCAATGTGAAAGTGGTTTACGCTGGGCCAAACTGTTTGGAGCAGCAGATCTATCCACAAGTGCAGTCATGATTTCTCAAAGTCACACAGAAAAGCCGAGAAGACGGTAAGAAGCAATTGTTGGTTGTATTGAATTGCTAACCGAATGATTACATTATGTAATCAGTAGTATTTTTATTTGCAGGTTCACCAAGAGACCATCAGAGTGGCTGCATCTGGACAGATCCCAAATAGGACTTTTAGCTCAGTCACTCATGTCCATGAAGCTATAGGGGTAGCTGTGAGCAATACAAATAGGGATGTGTGAGTGCACAGAAACACCTTTAAAAGCTGCACAGACCCCACACAAAAGCACAATTATGATTAGATTACAAGTATGATATGTGCATATTGATACTTATAATAGATTTTAGGTAATAGATAAACCATAAAAGTCAAATATGTTTTTCAACTTCCAGATATAACTGGTGATGTGTTGTGCTGGCAACGAAACAGAATTAATACCAATTAAGTTGGCACGGTACTGAGTTATTACAGAATCTCCAAAAAGCAAGCCTTTTTTCTTTGCCATAAACATTATGGATAACTTTTAATGTCTTTGGTATGTCTGTTATGATATGACTCCAAATTACAATGCAAGCAATAGCAATGCAATGTCATTGTGTTTGTGTTACAAAACACACCAGTAATTCAGTCATGAAGAGGCTTTTTTATATATATATATATATATATATATAATATATATATATATATATATATATTATATATATTATATATATATATATATATATATTTTTTTTTTTTTTTTTTTATTACCACAGGTGCATGCATAATCAGAACACATCACATACTTCATATTGTTTTCACCATAAAACGTTAAGGAGATAGGACATTCTAGTAGTAACTGTCTGAAAATTAGTCAGGTTCAGCGATGTCTTCAGTTCCGTTGCACAATGAAGCCATCTAGTGGCTGGCTTGAGTAGTGTCTGCAAGAAATATAAAAATATTATGTATTTTAATGTTTAAAGATGTTGTATTTGCCAATCACCCTATTTTGCCAATTGACAATCAACCTTAAAATAAAAAAAAGTTGTTTTAATGTGTGCAGTCCCTGCAGTTTGTGCCTGAATCACGACTTATGAGAGTTCATGCAGACTGATGCGTTTTTACTTTGTTCTTCCTTGCAGTTTTATTTTTTCATCAACACTCTCCCCAGGCAACCCGTTTGCTGCCACTCTTTTCCAGTGCATTCTGAGATAGCTGGCCAAACGTGTGTCCATACAAGAATCTGTATCCTATATGACAGCACATGGAGTTATAAAATGGCATTATCATATCACCTGTTGATTATAATCATGTGAATGATGTCATTTTCCACACACCTGGGATGTGCCCTGTGAAGGATGGCACCACTGCCCTGTTTGGGTGGTATAGTGTGGGGAGAGTAGAGCTGTCCTGGCCCTCTGCTGTGTCTTGAGAGAAGGGTTCATTGCGCTGCTGTTTTCCAAATTGTACTAGAGCCTGGTTTGTAGTGATGGGGTAACTTTTCCCAATGAGGAAGCGAGCCTTTGGCACATGTCCTGTAAATCCTACAATAAAGACATATTAAGTCATCACAGCTTAAATAAGCGATTGTTTGCATCTTATTACAATCACATTATGTGTTAGTCTTTGATCAGAGGAGCAGTATATTCTTGATAAATCTATAGGAATTATCCAGTCCATATCTGACCCCTCTGTAGAGTGGACAAATGATGAATGTGGATCCTTTATCTGTTCTTACCTGAAATAAAATACTTGTGAGGGTTTTTATCATCCATAAATATGGCCTTTCCATGGGGATGAAGGGCACTGAGGGCTTGTAGGTGATCACAGTGTTGATGGCTGTCAGTGGAGGTGATGGTCTGTGATTCTAGGGCACAAAAATATTAAGAACAATATAATGTGTAATATTGTGAATAGGCAGTTTAACACTAAATGTCCACAATCTGTCATGTCAATTTTTATCATCAATATGAGTGAATCTTAGCTGTAAAAAAGTCAATCTGTACTGTGTGTATTGGGAAGGTGACTGGTCTTGCTTTTCAGCTGTATTATCTTACAGTGAATTGACACTGCAGCATGGATAATTAAACAAGAGTGAACTGTATCTCAGGTGCCGTGTCAATAAGTGAGCATTGTGCCCTGCTGTGAAGAGCACATGGACTTTACTTCAGACAGATGGCTGCTGTAGTTGGGGATAACTGGCAGTTTGGCTGACTGCTGCTGACTTCTCTTCTGCTGCTCCTGATAGAAGTCAGTGAAAGCTTTACGACACATTTCACCATAGCTGCAGGCAAAGTGACTCCGACATTTTGGAATGAAACCTAAACAGGAAAGAACATGACACATGCACAAGCTAATGCACAGCACAGAAGACAGTCAAAGGCCTGAGGTTGTGTCTACTATATGGAAAATGGAAGTGTGTTTAGTAATACTGGTACATTTTACAAAGACCACCTGGTCTGATACAGAAATTAAATAAAACTCCCCAATTGCTTTTATTTTCTAAATGTAATTTATTTAAGAGTATGAATATGAAAAATGCAAATGTTCGCCACATTACCTAAATTGTGTTTAGTCAATTGCATGATGCATACTTAATAATGAATAGGTCAAGTGAAGCATGTGCAGTTCACACACAGGTTAGTCTGCTTGCTCTTTTGTTGTTGTTAATGTGGCATCTGTCTTCTCATAAAAAATAAAAAAAACACATGATGTATGGCTTGTTTTCCCAACCAAACACTACCAATTTTTTCATTGTACACTATTATCTAAGGGCACAGGTATGCTGTACCTGTGTATCCTGGAATCATCTTCCTGACATGACAGTCTGAAATGCTCCTGCCAATCCCGGTGCGGGCTGCCTCAGATGAGTGGGTCACTCCAGACACCATGAGGCGAGTGGAATGGTTGACCTCAGGACTGGACAGCAGCTCAGACGTCAGCTGACCATATGACTTCCCAATGTTATATTTGAGCTGTGGACAGTAGCCTGCATACCTGCACACAGGTATACAATAGGAGTCACTGCAAGGATGACTCAGCAACAACCAAACACAAGATAACAGGAAATGGCAATTATGAACAGCTATAATTGTAAAAAAAAACACATAATAAACCATTGTGTTTTCAAACTTATAAATAACAGTATCGATGTTTCATTTTAGTTTGCCTGATGAATTACCTCTTTTTTCTATTTCACGTTTTGAACGTCAATGCAACAATGATTACGGAATTGTAATTATTTTCCCGTGATAAGCTTAATTAAAATATTTATCTATAACTGAGCTCTAGCCCACCTTTAATGGCAAGTGCAGTTATTACGTAACGTTAACCACTCGGTTACTACAATAACACAACATCACAAAGGTTGATCTGTCATCTTACTGTCTAATCATTTGATGGATCAGCATGTTATGTCTACGTACGAGATACTGACGTGTTTGGCCTATTTAGTGTTAGTTGGGTGTGTCATCCAAGTCTGTCGAGCAGCTTAAGTTTACTTCAACTAAATAACGTTTGCTTACATGAATAGCTTTCCTGCAACAAGGGATGACGCGATGAGGTCACGCTGGAGTTGTAAAGCTGTTTGTACTTTAGTCTGTTGTTATATACAGGTCCCAAAATTGTGCCCTTACCCCGGGATGTAGTGAGGGTCCGGAGTGAGCAGGACTTTGCTGATCTTGGGAGGGTAAGTTGTGTCCATGTCGAGCGCTCCGGGGGAGCTGGGGCTCCTCGGCGCGTCTCTTCTGTTGCTACACAATCAAACACAAACAGTCCACATCGAAGACAGTCACACCAGACTTTCTCTACTACGACAATGGACTGAGTAGGTAGGTCCAGGTAGGCAGTTGCTGGGCTACTTCAGAGAGGAGAGCAGGGGATTAAGGCCTGTAACATAAAGCGCACTCTCACCGTGTCACGTCTATTAATGAGACTCTTTTGGACCTGCCATGGATCGCATTTCTCAAGTTGTCCTTGATTGGAGCTATAGTCTATGTTCATTAAAACCCCTTATATGACAAACTAATATGATTAGTCGTTACTCCATGGACATATGGTGGGTACAGTAATTCATTGTCGATAGGCCACTCTCCAATCCAATCCACTTTATTTATATTGCATATTTCATAAACAGTTTCCAAAGTGCTACGCAAATACATAGTAATAACGATAATAATATAATGATAAAATATGCGCTCAGATGTAATCATACTAGTCTTAAAACAATAGAACCATCCATCCATCCATCCATTTTCGTCCGCTTATCCGGGGCCGGGTCGCGGGGGGAGCAGCCTAAGCAGGGACTCCCAGACTTCCTTCACCCCAGACACGTCCTCCAGCTCCTCCGGGGGGACCCCGAGGCGTTCCCAGGCCAGCCGAGAGACATAGTCCCTCCAGCGTGTCCTGGGTCTTCCCCGGGGCCTCCTCCCGGCGGGACATGCCCGGAACACCTCCCGAGGGAGGCGCCCAGGAGGCATCCGGAACAGATGCCCGAGCCACCTCAACTGCTCCTCTCGACGTGGAGGAGCAGCGGCTCTACTCCGAGCTCCTCCCGTGTGACTGAGCTCCTCACCCTATCTCTAAGGGAGCGCCCAGCCACCCTGCAGAGGAAACTCATTTCGAGCGCTTGTATCCGCGATCTCGTCCTTTCGGTCACTACCCAGAGCTCATGACCATAGGTGAGAGTAGGAACGAAGACTGACCGGTAAATCGAGAGCTTCGCCTTTCGACTCAGCTCCCTCTTCACCACAACGGTCCGATACAGCGACCGCATCACTGCCGAAGCTGCACCGATCCGCCTGTCAATCTCACGTTCCGTCCTTCCCTCACTCGTGAACAAGACCCCGAGATACTTGAACTCCTCCACTTGAGGCAAAGACTCCCCACCCACCCGGAGAGGGCAAGCCACCTTTTTCCGGTCGAGAACCATGGCCTCGGACTTGGAAGAGCTGATCTTCATCCCAGCCACTTCACACTCGGCTGCAAACCACCCCAGTGCACACTGCAGGTCCTGGCTCGATGAAGCCAACAGGGCAACATCGTCCGCAAACAGCAGAGATGAAATCCTGTGGTCCCCGAACCGGACCCCCTCCGGCCCCTGACTGCGCCTAGAAATTCTGTCCATAAATACAATGAACAGAACCGGTGACAAAGGGCAGCCCTGGCGGAGTCCAACATGCACCGGGAACAGGTCTGACTTACTGCCGGCAATGCGAACACAGCTCCTGCTCCGGTCATACAGGGACCGGACAGCCCTTAGCAAAGCGCCCCGGACCCCATACTCCCAGAGCACCCCCCACAGGACACCACGAGGGACACGGTCAAATGCCTTCTCCAGATCCACAAAACACATGTGGACTGGTTGGGCAAACTCCCATGAACCCTCGAGCACCCTATGGAGAGTGTAGAGCTGGTCCAGTGTTCCACGGCCAGGACGAAAACCACACTGCTCCTCCTGGATCCGAGGTTCGACTATTGGCCGGATTCTCCTCTCCAGTACCCTGGCATAGACCTTACCGGGAAGGCTGAGAAGTGTGATCCCCCTATAGTTGGAACACACCCTCCGGTCCCCCTTCTTATACAGAGGGACCACCACCCCGGTTTGCCAGTCCAGAGGTACTGTCCCTGACCGCCACGCGATGTTGAAGAGGCGTGTCAGCCAAGACAGCCCCACAACATCCAGAGACTTCAGGTACTCAGGACGGATCTCATCCAACCCCGGAGCCTTGCCACCAAGGAGCTTGCCAGTCGAGGTCAGCAGCTCTCCCCCCGCACTGTAAACAGTGTTGGTGAAGAACTGCTTTCCCCTCCTGAGGCGCCGGACGGTTTGCCAGAATCTCTTTGAGGCCGTCCGATAGTCCTTCTCCATGGCCTCCCCGAACTCCTCCCAGCTCCGAGTTTTTGCCTCCGCGACCACACGGGCTGCAGCACGCTTGGCCCGCCGGTACCCGTCAGCTGCCTCAGGAGTCCCCCGAGCCAGCAAGGCCCGATAGGACTCCTTCTTCAGCTTGACAGCATCCCTTACTTCTGGTGTCCACCACCGGGTTCTGGGGTTGCCGCCGCGACAGGCACCACAGACCTTACGCCCACAGCTCCGAGCAGCCGCATCGACAATAGAGGCCGAGAATGAAGCCCACTCGGACTCCATATCTCCGGCCTCCCCCGGAATCCGGGAGAAGTCCTCCCGGAGGTGCGAGTTGAAGGTCCCTCTGACAGAGGGCTCCGCCAGACGTTCCCAACAGACCCTCACTACACGCTTGGGCCTGCCAGGTCCCTCCGGCTTCCTCCTCCGCCAGCGAACCCACCTCACAACCAGGTGGTGATCGGTTGACAGCTCAGCCCCTCTCTTCACCCGAGTGTCCAAGACACGCGGCCGGAGATCAGATGACACGACGACAAAGTCGATCATCGACCTCCGGCCTAGGGTGTCCTGGTGCCACGTGCACTGATGGACACCCTTGTGCTCGTTATGGACAAACTGTGACTAGCCCAGAAGTCCAATAACAAAACACCGCTCGGGTTCAGATCGGGGAGGCCGTTCCTCCCAATCACCCCTCTCCAAGTGTCCCTGTCGTTGCCCACGTGGGCGTTGAAGTCCCCCATGAGAACAACGGAGTCCCCGGTCGGTGCACAGTCTAGTACCCCTCCCAAGGACTCCAAGAAGGCCGGGTACTCTGCACTGCTGTTCGGCCCGTAGGCCGACCCCACAGTGAGAGACCTGTCCCCGACCCGAAGGCGCAGGGACGCGACCCTCTCGTTCACCGGGGTGAACTCCAACACACAGCGACTGAGCTGTGGGGCAATGAGCAGGCCCACACCAGCCCGCCGCCGCTCCCCGCGGCCAACGCCAGAGAAATGGAGAGTCCAGCCCCTCTCAAGGAGTTGGGTTCCAGAGCTCAAACTGTGCGTGGAGGTGAGGCCGACTATATCTAGTCGGTAACGCTCAACCTCCCGCACAAGCTCAGGCTCCTTCCCCCCCAGCGACGTGACATTCCATGTCCCCAGAGCTAGTCTCCATGTCCGGAGATCTGGTCGCCGAGGCCCCCGCCGTCGACTGCTGCCCAGATCTCTCTGCACCGGCCCCATATGGATCCTTCCGCGGGTGGTGGGCCCACGTGAGGACGGCCCCACGTCGCTCCTTCGGGCTGAGCCCGGTCGAGCCCCGTGGGGGAGGCTCGGCCACCAGGCGCTCGCTGGCGAGCACCCACCCCAGGCCTGGCTCCAGGGTGAGGCCCCGGTGACGCCAATCCGGGCGACGTAACTGGCCTTGTTGGTACACTCATCATAGGGGCTTCTGAACCGTTCTTCGTCTGACCCGTCCCCCCGGACCTGTTTGCCTTGGGTGACCCTACCAGGGGCATGAAGCCCCCGACAACATAGCTCCTGGGATCATTCGGGCACTCAAACCCCTCCACCACGATAAGGTGACGGTTCAAGGAGGAGTATAATAAATAAAACCAGTAAAATAAAATAACAGCAAAAACATGAAAAAAAAAAAAAAAAAAAAAAACATTGACCACTGACCAGTGTTGATTTTTCTTTCCTTACCAGAGGGGTACCAACAATTTTTTGTCCACATCTATACATCACAAGTTAAATGAGTTAAATGAGTGTTGAATATATATATATATATATATATATATATATATATATATATATATATATATATATATATATATATATATATATATATATATATATATATATATATATATATATATATGGTAAAATTTTTCTATAGCACTTTTCCATCTATACATCACAAGTTAAATGAGTTAAATGAGTGTTATATATATATATATATATATATATATATATATATATATATATATATATATATATATATATATATATATATATATATATATAATTAATTAAAATTTTTCTATAGCACTTTTCCACCTTGAAGGCACTCAAAGCGCTTTACAACAAGGAACCACTCACCCATTCACACACACATTCATACACCAGTGTACACAGACACTGTGGGCAAGGTGGGTTAAGTGTCTTTCCCAAGGACACAACAACAGCATTCATTTGTGGGAGCTGGAATCACACCAACCTACTTGTGGGTCAGTGGATCTGACCGCTCAACCTGTGATGTTTATGTCGAAAGCTGGAATCGAACCGCCAACCTTCAGATCAGTGGGAGAATGCTCTACCAACTGAGTTACTGCTGCCCTTATATATATATATATATGTTCAATTCATAAAGAACAATTGTATAACAAAGGAACTGCAGGGGTAAATAGTTGTGTTTGTTTATTTGAATTTATATCAAATAAATATGTTTACAGGATATTTGGGTGTTTGTAGAAAAACAGATTTATATAATGCAGCTATTGCGATTTGAGTTTATAATACAAACAAACAAGACAACAACATTACTTACAGGATTTGATTTGTTTAGACTATGCTTTCACTATTAAAGTAATATTTTGATTACAAAATAAAAATAAACCACTATTAAATAAATTTTTTCCCATTCCCCATTCATCAGTCATAGGCCGGTACAGAACAAAGAGGCATGGGTCTGGGGGTCAGCGTAGCGTACAGTCTCTTTGAGCAGCAGACTGTGGCCGGCCTCAAAATCACTCTTTTGTTTTTCCTGCAGTGACTGAGACTCATGCTGTGTCCGCTGACCTGAGCTGTCGTCGTTCACCTGGGGAATGTAGATGCTATCAGACAAAGACATTCTACGCATTCCTCCATGCTCTCTCATACTATATCCTCATCTGTCCAGGTGACCAACCACAGTGTATTAGACAGAACTTACAGTAAACACACTTTGCGTAAATTTCAAATTACACACTTTTATTCCTCCTTGAGTAATATTCAGTTTGAAATAACAGTACTTGAGTTTTGGTTACTTCTCTTTTAACAAGTCAGAAAGGCCTTATAATTGACAGTATTGCAATATTATATATATATATATATATTATTGCACAGCTATATATTCAGATATATGTTTTCTAATTCTTTTGGTCTGTCCTGTAAAAATATGAATATTTTGTGCATCATTTGAGGTTCTGTCCTTGTAATGAAATGAACTTCATTTTATTCTACTTTAGATGTTACTTACAGACAGGTACTCTCACTTGAATAATAGTTTCTCCAAATACTATTTACTCTTTTATTTTCTTGAGTAAAAATCAACTGAAAGACCAAGTTTTTTTTTTGTTTTTTTTTAAAAGCTGTGTTGAACTTAACCTAAGCCATTGAAACATGTTTTCTGTGTTGCAGGAATACATGGAAAAACATCACAGCTAACCTAATTTTCAAGATTTATCAACACTAAATCCTGGAGAAGTGTACATTGTGAGTCACTTTTACAGCTTGTTTTAATTACATGTTTTGGATTTATGTAGGGTGTTGCTGGATGAATCCAAGTTGTCAAATAGCATTGTAGCTGAGTCAGAGTTTTTCCCAGAACTAGTGGCAGGACTATGCGGGTCTCAACCTGCAGCTGGGAGGCCTGTGACAGGACACACACTGATTTGAAGGTGTGGTGAACCTGAGGAGGCGGACCTAAGGGCATGTTTTGAATGCTACATCACCAGCTTACCTCTATGGCCTGTGTGGGCTGTCCCAACGTGCTTCATTCCTCAGTTTTCTCTGTGGACGACTTGGATGTAGTTCGAAGACATGAATTTGTACAGGAGTTTTGGGAATCTTATGGAAGTCTGGGTGACAGAGGGAGCACCGGAGCCGGACTGGTTGGAGCGTAATGAGGAAGACCCCCCTTCGCCTTCATCAGATGTGGATACTAATGTTCGCTCTGAATCTGTGGACTCAGGAGTGGAGACTGCCAGCTCGGACATCTCATTCCCAACCACATCTGTGTCTGTGGATTTGGATACTTTCACCCCTTTGGCATCCCAGTCTCCTGTCCTATCATTCCCGGCGCCTTTATCGTCCACCTCTTCCTCACCGTACCTAATGCCCAACAGATCTAAAGTGGAACAGGCTCTGTTGAGAGTTGAGTCGTTTAGAGAAAAAAGACAAGAGGCTCCAGTGGATGATGTGGTCAGGAGGAGGCCCCTGTCATCTTTGCTGCCCAAGAGACACACATCTGATCTGGCAAGGGGTCAGAGGCCAGGTAGCATTGTGCTCAGAAAAGCGTCTAGTTCGTCCCCATTGGTCAGACAGATGTCGGAAGCACAGAGGAGACCGCAGTCAGCTATTTATGACAGGGAAACATTTGACTACATACCAAAGGTGAGACAAAAACATAGACTAAAAAATCTGACATATATCATCTGTATGAGAGATTGCATGTAATGACTAAAATGTAATAATATGTCTTCTTTAAGGTATGTTTGACGATTGCTGTGGCTTATCTTCATGTTTTACCTTAATAGTAGTAGTCTAGGCATGGTAAAATATTACAGCTCACTTTTCAAAATTGTGAAAACTACACCCTTGTCTAGACTAGTGCTTCTCAAATTGTGGTATACAATACACAAGCATGTCTGATGTTAATGGTGCATCATGTAACTTTTCTGGTGTAGGGCCCACCACAAACTTGTCTCCATGCAGATGTTATTCCCTTGCCTAGAATGTTCCATTGTTATGCTTTGACTGTATTAAATGCAGGTAATGTAATGTATATCGTGTACTCAGTCATATTACAGAAGAATTTTTTTTTTTTTTTTACCACTTATAAATACCTTGAAAAACATATATTCTCAATAACCTCACTTGCTTCTCTAAGATCTGACTTGTAAACTTGATCATTTAGTATCACTTGAATGATCTAAGTGTGATGTCATACTGTGGAACATTTGAGGCATAGATATCCTATTATAAGATTAGCGGATTCTCCACCTGAAAATTTACATAGAGCACCTTTAAATATGTACATATATATTTTTTACCAATGGCCTGTGCTTTTGTTTGTTGTGATATAATTTTAGATTCAGTTATATCAAAATATATATGCTACTGAAATGCTGGTTACATTAGCAGCTATGTTCATTTTACAGTTGAAATTGTGATGGGAACTTTTGACTCTTTTGGATCCATTTATGTTAAAGAGCCATTCATTATGACAGAAGCCTATGTTTGAACTCAATTTAACAACAAATTAAAAGAGAAGAGAAAAGGCCAAGGCAAAGATTTGGTTAAAGTTGTTCAAACTGAGAGTGGGAGTGCATTTACCCTGAAATGCTACAAAATCTAAACAAAATGTTGTACTACACTAATAATAATTTTTAAAAATAACTGTTATCATGATGTAAAATATGTTTTTCATTTTTCAGTGTAAAAAGTTCTCACTCGTACTGCATGCTCTTATTATTATTCTCTGATTCTGGCATTGGTTCAGTGTTAATCAGTGTTAAGAAAAAAAAAAAAAGTGTTAGACACTAAAAGATTTGGTTCTTTTCAAAAATTTGATCTGATTCCAACCTTTCACATTAAGGAACTGTTCAAAAGAGCCGACAACCGTCACATCCCTAATTTGAAATGGAAACAGTTTAAATTAGTATCTATAAAACATATTTTTTCCAGTAAAGTTAAATAGTAGAAAATTTGGAAAACCCTTACCCAAATTGACAGTGTGTGATAACTGCTCATACATTTTCAAAATTGGCCTTCCATGTTAAAAAAATGTTTAACATGAGTAAACTACCTCTGCTTTATCTGAAGAATTAATATTAGTTTGAGACCTCTCCAAGCGTTACATAAGGATCAATCTAACATGTATGGTCTTGCACAGGACAGCACCATAAACTTAACAGGGAAGTCCTATAGAAAGTCACTAGGAGTGCACCTGGGCTTCTATTTTAGCTAGTTAGAGGGTTGCAACATACAACTACAAAGCCAGTGTCGTGCTCAAAGTAGGCCAGGCATGTCATTTAGTCACACGAGATCTCTTTCATGCTCACGAGGGTGTCTGCAGCATCACAAACCTGTCTGCCCAGGTAAAATACACCCAACGGCTTCATGGGATTGGAGGTGAAGGTCTGAAAGAATTTCTGTTGTTTCAATGGAAGGGCAAAATTTTCACATGTTGCGAAAGCCAAATCTCATATCTTAGATTTTGTCATTGTTATCGTAGAGGGCTGCTTTGTAACCACTACTTCCGTCTTTAGATCTTTGCCAATATTTAATTGCATTTTGCCAGGCATTAAGCAGAAGAGATGTTGAAACTACTAGATTAACTGTAACTCTTCCAGTTAATTCAGTTTCTTTAGTTCAAGGGCGTGCTTGCATTGATTTACTAAAGGAGACAGCTAAAAGCACACTTAAGAAATCAAACCTGCAAACAACAATAATTGGCCTATTATGACAAGTGAGAGACCGGTTTCAAATAGACACTTGAGAGTCACAGGAAATATAATCTTTTAAGTGGGCAATAAAAATGTGTGCAGGAGCCAAAACGACTCAGCTCAGTTTTACAGCAGGAAAAAACAATCTAAACATCTAATTAGTCATTTTACTGATGGGAAATCTTATCAACAATGCACTTTTTGATAATAACTAACTATGACAGAAACAGTTCGTATACAGGGCTGATTGGCTGGCTGACTGGCTGATTTTTCTGATATCAAAATATGTCTGATATTGAAAATCTAGCTAATATTTTGCACCAATATTTTTTTCTAAGCTACCCCAGTCTCGGGTGTGTCTTTTTAAACTAATTAGTGAGATGAAATGGAAATAAAAATATGGCTATATATTTACAATCATGCAATTAATTATTTCATATTCCTGATATATATGTTGTTTTTATTTTTTTACAAAGGAAGAAAGTGAAAAGGATACTGTGTGCAACTTTACTACAACTGAATAGCAACTTATGAACCTTATCATATTTAAAAGTCCTGTATTGCGCAAAATTGACTCTTGTGAGCTTTAAGCCATGTTATAATGCCATTACCTCCACACAACATACCTGGAGTTGTGTTTTGTTTCATTTACACAAGTTTGTTTAAATCTTTATTAGGCCATCTACAACTCCAAAGAGGAAAATGCTCTGTTCTACCTTGTGCTGTCATGTAGTGGTAGTTTTCAAGCTAAAAGCTAGCTTTTACCTTTAGTTCAGCAGAGATTGGCAATACCAGGGCTGAAATGATTCTAGTGAAGGTGTTTAGCACGATATGGGTCCTTTAAAAATCTTGATACTGGTATATGAAAATTGCAAATTAGTTATTGGCCACAGCAGCAAGACAATTATTGGATCAGTATGAATGGTAACCACATGGTTAGGACTTGAGTGCTGTTCTTCCCCTGACTGTGTCATACATTTTGCACAGGTCCTAACAGAGAAGTCTGAGCTGAGTCCAGGCCTGCAGTATCTGGAGCAGGTTTGTCAAATGCTGGAGGAATACGCCCGAGAGCAACTGCATCACAACACACAGCACACCGAAGCTATAGAGGAGGAACAAGTATGAACAAATACTCAATGACTTATATGAGCTCTTGTGGTGATTTTAACATGCTATTGACACACTGATGAAGACTTCTCAGCAGTGCCTCAGAGCTGTATAGATAACTGTGTCATAACAGCACTGTCATTCTTATGTCCTGGCTCAACCAGGTTGCAGGGACGTGTGACTTTGAGACTGTCGAAAAGGAAGAGCCCTTGTGTCGCAATTTGGAGAAAACACAAGTGGAACCCTCGTCCAGTGAGCCTCAACAGAAAAGAGAGAGACCCTTTGGCCACTTCAGGCAAAGATCAGCCTCGGACACAAACTTAGCATCCCTGCATTTACGTAAGGCTTAGATATTTACTCAACAACACATGACAGCAGAAAGTATAATAATTAATATAAATCCTGTTTGTATTTTTGTTCATTTTTTGTTTGTTCGTTGTAATACCTGTTTTCCCCGCATGGTGGTGCTTGCATCCCTTTACGTGAACGTTGAAAGATAATAGTCTCGCGCACTTGCTCTTAAGAAAGCATCAAAAAAGTTATATGTTTTGCTGGGGAAAGATCTGTTTAGGCCACACAAGTTCATACTCGACCATATCGAGATGACACTGCCATTTTTTGAATGCTTTGTGTTCCGCTGTATTAGTGATTACGCTGTAATAACGCCCAATGGTTCTGTTTCTGAACTAGTACGGAGGAAAGAGAAAGAGAGAGAAATAAAGAACTCCTAAATTTGAAGTCAGGGCTATAGAGCACACATAAATGTTTTAATTAAGTATATATTATAATTAGTTATTATGTGTATCTGTATGTTCAGGACGATTAAAGGTTGACTATGAAGAGTACAAGTTAAGCGCTCATGACCTACAGGAGACAGCTGCTGAGGAGGAACAGGAGAATCAGGTAAATATCTAAATGATTTTGTCCCTCTGTGTTGTGTTAGGAACAATATCAAGATCAGTATACTGACTTTACTGTACTGATTGATTGTTTTATTAAAATATAATGGGAAAATATTCACATGTTTATTTTGTGTCCTATTTAGAAATGTTTTCAAGTTACTGCTAAAACTTGTTTTAAGGCTTGATTTCCTGTAAATGTTTTTAGGACTGTCTGAAAGATGATCTGAACAAGTCTAAAAACTACTGGAGATTCAAGTTTGGTTCCATGAGAAAGGTGGATGAGAAAAAGAGGTGAGATTCTTGGTTTTAACCAGTGGAGGGCAGTGTTACTTCCAGTTACAAGACGTATGGTGCAGCTCTGCCATGGCAGGCAGCCACAAGCTCAGTGGGTCTGGCGTAATGCTCAGTAGATGAAAAGGAGTCTGTGGAGCACATGCATCTGTTCTTCATGAACACTGTGTCCTTGGTGCACACTGCCTCAGGACTCTTCTGTGTCTAATGAATGTTTTATCTGTGAAGCCCACAGATGCTGCCGAGCGCCACTCGGAGGAGGCTGAGTCACTTGTTCAGGAGAAGAAGGAAAACGGGACCTATTTAAATGGACTGTTTGTCTTGTGTCTTGCTAGTAATGACACACACATACACGCACACACACACACACACACACACATATATATATATATATATATTTTTTTTTATTTATTTATTATGCGCTGTACAGATTCTTATTTATCCTCCACATTTCCTATGGAAGTGTATGTATTACTGAAATATTGTCAAATATACATTTGACTGTCTCTAAATCTACATAATTCTTTTATATGGCTCTGGCAGCATTGGGAGATATTGAAAATTTAGGATTTAAATTTACAGGATTTAGAAAAGCAGTCTTTGGAAGATTGGCTATTGTTCCTTTTATTTATAAACCAATTATCCATAGTGTTTTTTATAATTACTGGTAAATTCGTGTCAAAATGGTGTGATTAATATTGATACTTTTGGTTATTGAACAGTGGACAACATAGTCAAAACTGTCTCGTGAATATTTTGCTAAACAAAAAATAATAAAACAATGTCACTTTCTCTACATAATTAATGTTTCTTCTTTGATCATTAATGAAAAAATGTATGTGTGTGTGTGTATATATATATATATATATATATATATATAAATATATATATATAATTGAAATGAACAGTTGTATCTTTGCAACAGACACAACTGTGTTCCACTCAGATCTGTAATTTTTCTACTAATCTATCCTTTAATAAAATATAATCAAGTAAATAGCAAGCAACTATCACAGTTAAAGCATGACAAAATCCATCCAATGCGGAGCAAAAAAAGACGGTGCCATGGCAACAGGGTCAATATTTTGGTTTTAGCTCATCTCACATTGAAAGGAGGGGACTGTATGACATCCTTAGCAAAATAAATAAAATACCTTTAATTCCTGGCATGGTTTAATTTGTAACTATTTTTGATACAACAGTTGCTCTTTGTGTCTTTTATCCAGTTGGCTTATTAACCACTCATAATATTACCTTGCAAACTCAATTATAATTTGATACATATAACCACACATTTAGGATTCATAATATATTATATCTTTATTCACCTAGATTGGGGGACACATTTCCCCTGGCATTCGCATGTAAAGAGATGTCAATGACAAACACGTCCAACCAAACAGAGAGGGTGAATAAATTTTCAGTCCATACATAAAATACATTTATTTACTTAATATTTGTCCAGCAGCAACGTCCATTGTCCCACACAGCAACCTTCTGTGCTATTAAAGATAACGTGTGGATGGGCTTATTAACTGGTGGTGAGGGGAGAGCTTATATCAGAGTGGCCACAGGGGGCAGCATCGAGTCATGCCTGCAGAACCCCCAACTGTTAAAACACCAACACTGTATATAAAGATGGTCAGAGTGACAGGTCTCATCTAGTTAACAAAGGAGGGCAATTTTCTGTATTTACAGGAGCTGCCATTATACTGCTATTTGGAGTATGAGAGATATAGAAATAAGCATCTTACTTGATTAATCAGAGCTTTTGTTCATCAGCTTACAATGCATTCAGTTTTTGTTTACCACTTGTGACTACCATAAATCTATGCATAGAAATATTTGCAATAAATTATATCCAGATCAAAGACATTTTGATTACATTTCCAGAAGTACTGTTAAAACTGTTAATCCTCCAGTGACTAGACATCCTCCATAAATTTTAGTTCCTACATACTGTATTTGATATTAAAGCTCAGAGAAAGTGAATAGAGGGCAATAATAATCAGAGCAGGTACCACTCGGACCATGTTTACATACAGTGTAGGTGTCTACATGATGCCACAGGTGGATAGGGGGTTGGTGATGTGGCAAGTGCAGGCTGACTGGCAGTACTGGCGCACAGTCTGATAACAGCTGCGGTCCGCCTCACCCCCCCACTGCACTGGCCCGTTTGGGTCAGTGGGCAGCCGACTCAGGATGCTGGTGTTTATGGCCAGAGCAGCCAGGCCATAGTCAGTGAACAGCACCGTCTCCCGGCGACAGGTGGGGCACGAGATGAACTTGTACTTGGGACAGGACTCATACAGGATCTGCAGGCACTCCTCACACACTGAGTGCAGACAGGACAGGATCCGCGGACGCTTCCCTGCAAAGTTGTAGGTGTGCCCACAGGTGGGGCAGTCCAGGGGTTCACACGGCATAACTGGCCCCGAGGAGGACGAACAGGAGGAGGAAGTAGAGGAGGAGGTGGAGGAGGAGCGCAGCACGTATTGGTTCACTATGACGTCGTCCATATTGTAGTGGAACTGGTGGTAGCAGATCTCATTGGCACTGGATTTTCGCTGCGCCAGGAAGCTGTGTTCCCTGCGCATCATTGGGGCCGGAGGAGGCAACATGGGCCTGGGGGAGCCGGTTAGGTCCAGGGTTAGATCACTGCAGGCCTGATTCACAATGATCTCCCCCTCTCCACCACCGTCCCAGGCAACTCTGGGGGGCGGGGCATAGCGGGGTTGGGTGACTGGCACAGGGCACTCCCGGGGAAACTTCTCTGATTGGATGATTTTGACAGTATCCATGGGGATGGTGACCGGCTGGCGCCGTAGGCAGGACATTCGCAGTCTTTAGTTGGTGGTTAAAGAGAAAGTGTTTTTGGCTCAGCTTAGAGTTCAAGGGACCACAGGATGTCTTTTTTTCTGAAGTTAGCCATTGGATGGGACATGAGGGCGCAAGACTTTGTCCATGTTTCAGTCCTTTTAATGTTTAGTGCAGTTGAAGCACCAGAAATAGCACCAACTTTGTATAGATAACAGTGGTAGTACCTATGTAGTCTTGTTCAGGGTCTGTGCAGTTTCTGATGGCAATTTGCAGAGATTTAAAAAGAGGACCACTTCAGCACATCTCACTCATAACACGAATAAGCAATGCACACACTTCACATGTACACATACAGTACAGAGGTTATTATAGTCTGAAGGGGTATGCTGTTGACAGTCCACAGATGTCCAGACGATGTTGTCTTTAACTGTGTCCAGTTGGCGATCAGGGCAAACTCCTGCTTCTTTCTTGCATGAAAGAATGTTTAACTTCCTGTTTTTGGTGAGCCTGGGTGACTGCTTTCTCCTTCTCTGGTTGCTGGGTTGAGGGTGGTCAGCTGACCTCCTCTGACCCTCCTAAACCTTCTTGATAAGAACAGGGAGGTGTAGTAAAGAGCTGCTGGAATGACTCATTTGGTCCAAAGCTTCTAAATTCCTGTTTGGACGGAGTGGAGAAGACAGTCCTCCTAAACAGCCAAGGGTTGATAGCTGCTTGAGCTGTGCTTATTTGAGCATTGCTTCACTGTTTCCTTTGCTCTTCTTGGCTCCATTTATCTGAAAGAAAAAGAAAAACAACATTAGACCAGACAGACCTCAAAATACATGCTTCCGATTTCACAGTTGCATTGACATTTAATATGCCCTTTTAGTTAATATAGTACAACTCACTACAATTTAACTCAGGTGTAAAGCTAGCCTGCAATCCAGCCTAATACTAATCAAAAAGTAATGTACTCAACTGGATAACAATAAAAAAATTACTATTAAAATCTACTCAACTAAATAGAAATACAAGCCTAGAATTAAACCAGACATAAACAAAAAGCCCCTATATCTGACAGTGGCCTGTCCCAAGAGCAGGTTACTGTGGTTTTATAGGATTTATAGTTTTGCCTTAGTCTCTTTTGTTTCCTTCTTCCTGTCAACAGAAGCAGTGATGGCGTCACTTGCGCCCCTGTATGTGCCTGACATGCGTAGGGCCTGGCTGCAGTAAGCACAGAGCGCTGCTATTCTGAGAGAGTGTGCGTGGGTTAGGCTCAAACAACTGAATAGCCCAGAGTTTGGAGTTAGTATGACACAATGGGATGACACATCATTGGCAGTGTGCGCACAGTACACTGATGAATCAGTACACAGCCAAGAGGTGACCTACATGGTTCGGAGGAGGAGAGAGGAGGAGAGATGTGAGGAGGGACACAAAGCTTGTGCTATTTATGGTTTGTTTATCTAAGCACTTCTCTGTGATTTTCCTGCATCCGACCCCCAACTCAAAAAGCCCTAGGCAGAGGTGCACCTGACAAAGGAAGTGGCTCAGCTCGTTGGGGCCCCAAAATAACACAATTTATCTGTCTGTGTGTGGCTTGGACCAAAACGGATCAATATACTTCTATTTATACTACTGTGACGAGACAAACCCATTCATTTTCCTTGTGAATCAGGTTTAAGTTCCATTTATGTTAATTGATACAAAACAGCGTGGGCTAAACAATAGCATAGCACGTAGGTAGTCAGAAAACACACAAAAAATACCTATTTTGGTGCTATCTTAGGAATTATTTGGTTGTCTATTCATATTGTTATTAATTGTTTCTTATTGTTATTTATCCAAGGTCTTTCCATTTTTTTCATAAATTTTTTCATTCAAGTGATAAATTGCAAAGTCAGTTTGTTTTGTAAAACTGAAACAACATATAAGAACAGATCAAACCATCACAAATGCTAAAGGAATCAGTACTGTATACTTAATTTCATTGTGTTTTTAAACCAATCTTATACTTAACACTTTATCTGACTTTTCAAAAAGTAATTTCTCCATTGTTTTTCAATGGTTGAATGGCGAGTAGTGGAAAGAAGAGTGCAGTACCGGAGAAAAGAGAGCCGAATGGCTAAGGAGGATAACTGATTGGACAAAGCTGAGACTGATTTTGTAAAATGCAACCATCTCTGTTCAACAGTTCTTTATTTACTCTGCCTATGCCCTTCACTTTCAAGGGCCTACATTTGTTCCTTTTCCAACACATTCAGACAGCTTGAGCTGAATCACTCTCCATCCTCACAACTGTGATCCTTGAGAGCTGCACTATGGCAACGCTTCCCCCAAAATAGCCTTTTTATCACTTTCTCATCCTCCCTGGCTCAAGCTGTTAGGAGGTATGAAAGAGGCAAAACACAGGACTTAGTGCTAATGTCCATTTAAGGGAAGACGTGTCTGCATGTGTTTCTATAGCATTATGTCCACTGCATTACACAATGATGGCGCAAAGATCTGAACACAAATTTGCTCTGCAGTGACAACAAAATCAAATATTCACTTTGCTTATGTATTTGATAAATCAGGGATTGGTAGTATTACACTTATTATTAAGGGACATTAATTAGATTAGATTAGCCTTTGCTGTCTCTTCATGGAGAAATTCTTGTTGGACAAGCAATGGGCACAAGAGCACAACAACAAAAGACAATAAACAAGAGACAGGGCTTTTTTTTAGGGCTTTTTTTTTTAATGGGCTGTAACAACACATAATAAAGGTCTTGTATTTTTCAGGCCTTTAAAACTACATCTGGAAACTTAGTCTTGTTCTTATGATTTAAAATAAACATGTACATTTATTTTTTACCTTTTTGTTTGTGTAAGCAAAAGGCCAGCAGAAAGCGCAAGGACTCATGCTGCTCTCTGCTGACTCACTGAGAATGCACTTATTATCAGGATGTAAATACATGTTTGTAGAAGTTTTACTCAAATAAATACAAATAAATCATGATAATACCTCAGACTGTGATACACTGTAACTACAAAGCAGGCACATACTTCTTCCACAAGTGACCATTATCCTGTAGATCTTTAGGGCAATGTGGCCAATATGTAAACTGAAAAGATACACCCATCCTTCACATAATAACTGTAATCTCAGTCGTGGCCCATGGTCATATCATAATAATCTCTCTCAGTCAAATATACCAGGTCTAAACACTATGTGTGTAAAAACTTTTTAAAATACATGTTGGAAACTGGGGTTGAGTAGATAAAGTATCCAGACTGCATTAGGATCTGTGAGAGCCCCAGGGAGGCGGCGTAGCTAAAATTACCCTCTAATTTGGTGACAGCTCTATGAAAAGGCCTGATAAGTGATGCAAGCGGCCTGATGATGGGCTAACCTCCTCCTCTAATCGACTGAACCCTCCATGCTTATGTAAGGAGCTCATCTCCGGCCCGGGTGGCCGCCATATTAGCACAGTGCACCGACTCAGATGTCATGCGTGTTTATAGCACTGGATGCACTCCCCACACATGAATTATTACACTAATGAAATCATGACAAGCATTTGACCTTGTCATCACAAACAAGCGACAGAGCAGGGAGCTGACCACATGTACTGACCCACCTCTCAACTATACCTCATACCATTCAAGCTATACAGCTTTATATTCACAATTGAACAGAGTGAGGAAGAGTACTTCAAAAGAGTAATATTATTCAAAATAAGCCCATAAGCAGAAAAGGTACATGACGATTCATAACAACAGAATAACAGAATAATGAAAATATATAAATTCATAATGTTGACAATATTCAGACAGAAGCCACTTTAATATCTATATAATTCTCAAACTCGTACAGTATTTCATGTCAGTATTCTGCTCTGTAATGTAACACATACTGGATGATATATTTTCAGTCTTCCTTCGAGTGTGCAGGGATTTGCATATTGATTTTGACATCGTTCTCACTGGGCTTGGTTGCAGAACAAAGACTACATATGGCTTGTGAACACTATATCCTTTAAAAATTTTAAAGTTGAAATCCATTCTACGTATGTTTGTAAACAATCACACACACGCACACACACCACACTCTCATTTGGTCATCTCTATGCATTTCTATTACCAGCCCTCATCACATACCAGCCAACACAAAACATCACTGTGTCTCCCTACTATTGGGCTGATTATACCCACACTAACAAGGCCAAACAAAAGAGGCAGAAATATCCAGAACATTCCCCATTCTCAGGCCTGTGCTCACCACCTGTGCTGCAGACAACGAGGGGAACAGCTCTGTTCTCTGAATGAGTCATAGACCAGCATGCACACGCCTATCAATGAAAACTTCTCCATCCAATCTCCAATAACAAAGTCTCTCTGTAAAAGGCACAGAGGACCTCATTTACTATGCTCCTCTCTACAGCATGGTGGCAGTATGTGAGGCATGTCAGCTATGTTGAGATTGGGATTCAAATTCGTGCCTGAGCTGGCAAAAAGCGCAGCCACTATACACATCCCGTACTGCACCGACCTGGGTGGGATATAATTATTTGTCCAGATTACGTTAACGTGGGATGACCTCTGTCAGATTTACGGAGATTTACGGTATTTTAGATTACAGAATTATATAGTAACAGTTGGAAAATAGAGACTGGAAGCAAGGACAGAAGAGACTACGGTGGATTGATTTGTTTTATGTGGCTCATACGGTAGAGCTAAGTACTATTTGATCAGAGTAGACTTGGTTTGATTATTGGCCAGTGTAGTGCAAGATATTTATATGGTTGCTGTAATGCTAAAAATCATTAAAATAACATTTGTAGTATGACAAATGTCTAAGTTTGTAACTAAACTTCAAATTTAACTTTGTGTATAATAAAGCATAAACAGGTATCTTCCTTGGATCATATGTGATGTAGCATGCTGGCCCAACTATCATTGCTATATCTCTTCCTGTATTACAAGAAAATCTAAATTTGATTCTGTTTGTCCATCTGTATTGTGTATGTGTTGCTTCATAATCAATGACAAAACATCATCCATATTTTATACATTTTAAGGACTCTAAAAAATAAACCATGGCTATCCTCTCCTATGCCCCCAACATAGAGAAGGTGGTGCATTTTTTAAATAATTCATCTGACTCTTGATCACACCAACCATCAGCCATTTTGCCTCTCTATTCATTTAAACCAAGTGCTCTTTGTTCTTGTCTCTGTAAGCTCCCATCAGACTGACATGGCTACTCGCTGCTAAAAGAGAAGCTTGACTGCAGTCGCCTTTGCACATAAGAAGACCTCACGTAAGATTTATGAGTGGAATGCTCGACAAATACCCAAGTCTTCAATAACAACAGTCTCTCCATTGATCAAGAACATTGATTTCTGTTAAGGTGACTGCCTCAGCACAGGTTTAAGGTGGACTGTTGATGTTGTGACTTTGAAAAGAGCAGATGAGGTGGACAAAATATTTGGGCAGGTTCAAAAAAAAAAAAAAGGAAAAAAGAAAAAGAGGAGAGGATTTGGTGCTTGTGGGAGGAGTGCATCCATGCAGGAGAGGTGGTTATGCAATCGGAGCATGGTGTGCAGCCCCGGCTCCGGACTGCAGCGACGTTGTACGACCACTGATGCCCCAATGCTGCTGACACCTACAGAACACACCGTTCTTGTACTGTCCCAGTCACCCCCACCACACCTCACTCCCCTTCACCTAGAGTCTGTCTATACACACAGTCCAGCTATTGTCATAATCTGATTCCACACAAGCACATTCATGACCTATTCGTATATATAACTATTGTTTGCATAGGTTATCAGTCATGCCATAGGAGCCGTGGTAACAACGCAAACAAAGATTGGCATTTAGACATGATGTTAACCTTTACTCTGTGTTTCTGCCTGCTTAGAGAACGTTTTCATAAGACATAAGTTACAATACATGAGAATGCGTGTCTCCATTCATGCCAGCAAAATGGACGTTCATGATGCAACAGTCATGTAAAGCAAGGCACATACATATATTATACTGGAATGGGAAAAAAAAGAGATTTCAGCCACACCTTAAATATTTGAATATTAAGTGTCATAGCACAATTAGAATAAAGGAGGAAAAGTGATGCACGCAGTATAAACGAATAAAGGTGATGCATGCAGCCTTGTAATCACCTGTTTGCCTGTACACACGCAGTTCAGATCATTCCAGGGCTTTGGCCTCAGTCATGCCCCTGTCTGAGAACAAAAGCTCAGCTCCATGTGTGAGGCTGGTGTGAGTGGGTGAGGATGCTCCACCACATACAGCAGGGATGAGCACAAATGGAGGAGATGTAAGATGGAGGCAGAGGTGAAGCCGTCATTTTGTGGATGTGGGATGTGAGGAGTGAGATGGTCTGCTGCCGTAATGTCCCTCCCTCGGCATTTGCTCAGCTCCTCAGTCCTCATTCAGCATCCAGAGTCTCACATGAGAGGTGAGTGTATCCAGTTGTCAGTGTTATACCTGAGCCCCAGTGCAGTCTTCTTCACGCCTGTCCCGCTTCTCTTCCTCTTCTCAGCTGCTGCTCATGTCTCCAGCCTCCACCGTGGGCTCCAGCCTGCATCACACATGCGCAGTCACTCCACACGCACACACACAGTTTCTGTGTGCTCTGGCCCCAGCCTTATGTGCAGGCTGCTTGTGCCTGTCACCCTCCCCCTTCCTCTTGCTCACTCCTCCTCTCCCGCTGCACTGCAGTGCCTCTGCAGACAGCATCACATTTTCTAGTTGCTGAAGAATTGTTTCAACCAATGAGGCGCATTACCAATATTCCCCACCACCCCCATCCCCATCTTAAGCATGCAGACTCATACATGTTTCTGTACACAAACCACCTCCACGTTGTTTTCAGAGTAGAAACATAAAATTGGACCATCATAATGAACACATGCACAAACATATGGGCAGAGCCACAATGCACCGCCACAACGCACCACAGAGGAAGTACATTACAGCTGAGTTGCTACAATGAAGTATGCCAGGCCTTAAATAACAATAACATCAAAGAAATTTAATGTTAAAATATTGTAACACATTTTCAAAGAAGGACCCTATTGTATAACACTGCCTCACATTCAGGAGGCCTCTTCTAGACTTTGAGCAAAACCTTGAGTGACAATTGAGTGAACATTGTTGAGTTCCCGAGTAACTGTCAATTCGTCCAAAAAACTGCAGTGGCAGCACAAAGAGCCCTGCTTGGATACCTATATAAGCAGGATGTTGCATAATATCTAATCCTCAAATCAAAACCAAAAAGACATGTTGTGATGTCAATTTTCAATCAGTCTAAGAGGGTTATGTTACATAATTGTGGTGCATCATGTAATGGGAAAAATAGAGGCAAAACTGAAAATAAAGCTTGGTCTGAAGATTCAACCTTTTTCAGCATTAAAGTGACATATTATGCAAAATTGACTTTCATGAGGTTTCAACCATGTTATAATGGCATTCCCCCATCAGTAGCTTACTCAATATGACAACTCATCATAACAAAGCAACAACATCTAGGCACGTTTAACATTTACATTGCGCAGATGTCCTCAAAGCTAAAGCACAGAGGCAACAATTGCGAAGCTAGATAAGATGGGGCCATAACATCTTAAGCAACAGGAACATTTCTTCCTGCACATTTAACAAGACTACATTGACTAAATAGGCCCTATGTCTACCTCGATTCTCATAATATTTTAAAACAACAGACTTATTAACTGAATAATATCAGTATTACTTACATGTCCACATTTGGGTTGAGCAGCAACTACATGAATAGAAATTGTGCGGTTTCCTGATTACTGCATGCCACCGTACTACGTCGACACCTCTGAACTTGGACAAAAAATACGTAGGCCTGCAATATTTGCATAGGCCACATGACTTATGCCTAACAATACTTGTAAATAAAGCCTTTATCTCCTTTATCTTTTGCTTAAGTTGAAGGATAGATGCATTTATTATACAATATTGTATGTTCTAAAACTGCAGATGCTGTTATTATTTTTGCCCAAACATGTAGTGTCAAGCACTATCCACTTGAGGGCAAGCTTTCCATTATTGTCTAACCCTATTTACCCCCATTTCTGGCGCTGATTTGTGTGCAATTTTTCTATTTTAGTTAATTTCACAATCACATTTTACATGTTTTATGAAATCAGAAATGAACTCAGCAGCAAATTATTTTCATTTTGTTTCGAATAATCCTGAAGTCAAGTCATTGTGCATTTTCTTCCAGCAATGATAGGTAACAGAGGCATGTTCTCCACCAGTCATGAAAAAATATTATAATTACCATGAAACAATGCTTTTGGCCTAACTATAGTTTGTACTTTTTTTTAAATTTTATTATGTGATATTGTCAATAACCATACAAAACACATTTCCACCATAAACTGTATATTATTTTCACTGACAATTCTTTTGCTGCAATAAAAAGCAGTTTCCACAGGTTAGATAAGAGAAGGTTCCTTGGTGGCCTTTGTCATCTGTTTGTTCTGCTGAATCACTGCTTTGATCAGAAGCCACTATTCCTGACACCAGCGATAAAACTGTTATAAACTAATTTAGATTTTAATTAGTCCATACAAGTTCAAGGCAATGCCAATAAATGCTTCCAAAGCGTACAGAACAAGATAAGCATGATAAAGTATCATTTATATGCCTAGGAGCCAAAATTACTTTGGTTACTTAAAATGTGAGTCTGGTCACTAATGAGTCTCCCTGGACTGTCTTTGGTAAATACATGTCTGGTTACCACAAATCAGGAACATTCATGGTCTGGTCAGTATCAGCAATTTTTATTATTATTATTGTTTTATATATATATATATATATATATATATATATATATATATATATATATATATATATATATATATATATATATATATATATATATTATTTTATTTTTTTTTTTTTCAGATTTTTTTGCAGAAAAGACATAAGAAAACCAGTCTCTTTTCTTTCAGTTAGGCCCAGTGAGCTAGCAAAAAGTTTCAGGCCATTCTTCAAGTGTGTTATGTTTGGTTTAATCTAAAAAAAAAAAACATTTGTGAAAAAAAAATCTAAAATCAATAAGTTGTTGATGCCAAATTCCACTCTTTTATCATCTATTTATACACCAAATTGTATTTTCTTTATGCTTAGAGGGGCAAATTAATTCCTGTTGGACTGAAGCCAAGACTGAAAATCATACCAAATTTGTAGCAAGAAAAACTCACATAAAAAGAAAAGATGTTCCAAATCCTCCTCCCCTGTGTCAAAAAACAAACAAAACACACATTTACCTGTCTGAAAATTTGAATTTTTGTATTAAAAATTCATTTGGTTGAATAAATTGTATTCAAAATTTTAAATTTTATCTCCTTCATTTCAGGGGCAGAAGAGATACTTAGTTTTAATCATTTTAATTTCTTTCTTTTCAAAATGTCTTTTAAGAGTGTAATCTCTTTTTACTGACTTGGGGAAACAATAATTTAGTAAGGAACATCTCAAAAATGTGTTATTGCACTTTGAATCACAAAGTTCAACACTTTCAATGCAAAGTTGTCTCAGTCCAGGAGAACTCTCAGAATACAACACATCCTGCTTGACTATTGTTCTAATATGTATTATAACGTGGTTATATTTTCTTTTGGTACACTAATTTAAACATTTCTGGCAGAAATCAGCATGTTGTAAAATAAGTCCATCATCCAAAAAGTGAGCTATAGCCCATACTCCTTTAGAGAACCATTCCTAAATGAAAATTGTTTTTATTTGCTAACCAGTATGAACCTATTGTTCCACACTAGGCTATTTTGAGGAGTAAAATTATGTTTCCAGTAAAGGAGGACCTGTTGGTGAAAATCTGAAAGTTTCACTGGTAATTTGTTTAACTCAGAATTTTTATATGCCAATTTTATTGAAGATTAGATGGGGAAATAGAGTGACTATATAATTTCTGCAGAATCAGTGAGTAAAGCACTAAACGCTGTTCATCTGGAGTAAGATACTTTATTATCCTGAAGAAAATATCATCATCACATTTGGTTCTGACTTGAATTGTCAGGCAAATATTTTAAAGCAATACTAAACAATTAATATAAATCAGATAGAACATATTTTTCCTACTCGTGTTTAGTAAGCAGGAAGTATCATGCCACAACTTATTCGTAAAATGACTTTATTCATTAACACTTAGAACTACACAGAGGCTCAGGGACTTTGAGATTGAAACACAGATGAGGTAGCAAATAGTACAAGCGACTCTGTTAAGATAGAATTTTGAATTATAATTGATAAAAGAGGAAAATAATAGGCAAGTCTATATTTTAAAAGTAAAGCACAATTAAATGTTAAAATAATTATGATAAAGAGCATATGTTTGACCACTTTTAGAACCCAAGTCACCAGCAGAGTTAAAGTAAACCATGGTCCTTTAAAATGGTCAAAAATTGAAAATGAACTTCAGCGTGTACAATAGCCACTTGCATTATGTCATTCTGATTTAAAAAGCTTAAAACTGTTTTGTCCTTTGCTCTTCTCTTACCTATATGGTTTCCTTAAATATCTTATCGCTTATATATATCGCTTGTTTGAATATTTCAGCATATACATTTTCTTTAATAATTTGTATTATTTACATTATTAATTAATCATTCAGTAGGTTAGTTTGTGACATCTTAAAGGAGATCTGACTAAATATTAGAAAACTGAATAAATATTTTTTTCCTAAAATGTCCTTTCGTGGCCATTTCTAACATTTAAAGGTAACACCATTTAAATAAAGTAATATCCACTGGCTTTATGCATAAAATCCATGGAAGAAGACTGCGACACAAAGTAGGATGAGAGCGTTGGCATTGACCACGTTCCTCCACAGTGGTACTTCGGTGGTGTCTGTGAGTTTCCTCTTCATCTCCTCCTCCTCCTCCGCGGTCAGTTTTACAGTCTCCTTCTGCTGTTCCAGGCCACAGAAACACAATATGGCCCTCTTGCACAAACCAGGCTTGTTCTCTTCTGTAAAAACGTATTATTATTACTGTCCTCTGCTAACCCTTCCCTTTTATACAATCTATGACCTACCGACATATTTCTTCATTTGTGGGATTCTTGTATTAGTTTAGCAGTTGTCATCATCATACTTGTCAGAAAAGTCAAAATTAGATACTTTTCCATGTCTTATTATTAAAATATTTCTCGGAAATTATAGGAAAGTTTATGAATTATGAATTCATTAACCCAGATGCAGAAATATACAATATTTCTGTATATATGGTTAACTCTATCAGCATGATACAATAATAAATAACGAAATAACTTACTAAAGTTACTACACAGGTCAAAAGTCAACGCTAATGCAAATCTGATAAGACTGGCTACATTAGAGGCTTATGAGCAGATATAAAGTCAAACATTTCATTTGCATGAAGGGGTCTTCCAACAGCAACAAAACTGTTCATTGTACATCACAAAAAGACAAATGCACTTAACAAGTACAGTACTTAAGTGAAGAATGCATATTTGGGCTAAACAGAAAGCCGCTGACTTACCATGTTTCTTCTCCTCTATTTCCATTTTCTTGTCATCTTGATTGTCAATCCAGTCATCCACTTCAATGTCAATCCTCTCTTCTGTGTTGTTCCGCAGAGTCCAGCAGAGACGATA